TATATATGTGTAGATATAGCTACATCTATATGTGGTCTTAAATATAGAGCGAAGATAATGTTTCAGTCAATATCAAGGTTAACGGTGTGACATGGGTATACATATTTATATATATATATATATATATATATATATATATATATCAAAACGAATTGTATTTTGTCCTTTAAATTGAACTTTACTTTGTATTATTTTTGCTTCAATCCCGTGCATCGCACGGGCCAAAAATCTAGTATTATATAACTTGGGTTTTTGAATCATTATTCTATATTAAAAATCTGTTTTGCCACATTTGGTCCTTCCACTATTGCAATAGTGGAATTTATTTATTTTTCATTTTTACTTTGTTATCGTTTAGTTATTTATAGTGAAATATTAGAATCATATTGAAATATTATATTTTTATATATGTCATAAATGTATAATTTAGACTAATTTTGTGAAAATAAATATAAATATAATAATAACAACGGTTATAGTTAAATATTTTATCTAGATATATTAGCGATAGTTTTATTAGTAAAAAATATATGTTTAATAATTATGTGAGGGCTAACATAGTAAAATAATATTATTCAGATGCAATAGTTTTTTAGTTATCACTTAATATTAACAAACATAGTCTTACGTGGTGTTTGCAAATGCTTTTCGAAATAGATTATGAGCTTTTTTTGTGAACATAATCAGTTTTTAGGTGTTTGCAAAACAAACTTTTGCTTTTGCTTCTCTTAAAATAAGATGTTTTAAGCTATAACTTTAAAAACACCCATATACATGCATTTTCTAATTTAGTTTATTTTCCAGATAATTTGCAAGCACAATCACTAACTACTACTTTTAAATAAATTTTTGCAAACATTAATTAGAAAATTAAAATTAGTAAAAATTCTAACAAACCCCCGAAAAATATAAGGAGGAAACTGCTAACAAGTATACAATTGAGGGGGCAAACTGCAAATCGAATAAAATGACCGACTGAAATTACGAAGTAGGAACTTTCTCCAACCTTCTCTGCCCATTAAGCTAGAAAGCAAACAAAACACTGTCCCCGGATCTCATTCCATTCAATCAAACACCCAAAAAAGGAAACCCCAAAAATCTACCACGAAAATCATACAATCAGAGAGAGAAAAATGGCGTTGCAGTGGATGATACTGGCGTACGTTGTGGCGGCGGAGGCCGCCGTGGCAATTATCCTGACTCTGCCGTCGCCGAAAGCGATTAAATCTCGCATCACATCGCTCGTATCGCTCGTTCTCCAGCCGTCGCTGTTCATAATTCCGTTTTCAGCTTTTCAGCTTCTCGGTACGCAATTTTCTTCTCCTTTTTTTCCCCCGATTTATTGTGAATTTTTTTAATTTTTATTTGGATTGCGGTTGTTTATAATTTTTGTATGTAGATATATATTGGAAGAACGAGCACCGATTGATGTGCAGTGGAGAGACCTGCACTGCTGCTGAGAGAGATCGCTATGAGAAATCGGTGATTAGTTTCTCTCTCTTCAATTTCATTATTTTGATTTTAATTCTTTTCGGCATTTTTTTTTTCTTCGTAAAACTGTTTATAGTGATTGTTGATATAAGTGAAATTGATCATCATTTCTCCATTAAATTTATTTTATTTTGGAAGAATTTATGCTTGTTTTGAACTAGACATTAAGCAGAACACCAGTGATTGTTTGTTAATTGTTTGTGCCCATCTAATCGAAGTGATAGAGCCACTATTTTAGAGCTCAACTCGGCGTCTCTGGCTATAAACTTACATAATTTTTAAACTAATAATTTATTTAACGCAAATATAAGTTTCACATAGGAAATATACAATAGATTTTGAGAATTGGACCTCTTCTAGACTTCCCGAATGTATTTTTATGCGTGCTCCTTTTCTGAATGTATTTCTATTTAAATGTGTAGCATTAACTAAAGTAATGCAAGTATATATAGAAACTGTAGACGTGATTTGTCTGAGTCACTGAAATAATTATTTCATTTTTATGCTGCATAGTTTCCCCATAGTTGTATATACATATTAATGAAAGTAATTCTTCGATGATGTATTAGATACTTTTTTTTTTATCTTAGCGTGGCATTAGTTTCGATCGAGTCTCGTCTGCATGTAGCTTGAGAATTTCCGGTATGCTTATTTGTTAGAAAAAAATAATTTGTCTGTGTGTCAATATCATTGTACAATGTAGAATTGTGAAAGTACAGCCAATGTCTGATGACAAATCGATGAAGATAGCATGTAATGCAACCTTTGTACTACTGCATCTCTGTCTATTTTTCCTCGTTGCATTTTTTTATGTTTTTATTTTCCTAATTCCCCGGGGACAGTTGGATTTATAAAGATCTTTTTTATTTATTGCAATGACATTGTAAAATGCAACTTTTGTACCGATAATCTCATCATTTTTTCCTATGTGCCTTTTTTATCAACTTCTCATTTTCCATAATTCTCAATTAACTGTTAGATTTAATAAGATCTTCTGATTGCAAATGACCATGAAGGTTTTTTTTTTCTTCTTTTTTTTTTAATTCAAATTGACGAAGGTAACGAGTAATGCAACTTTTGAACCAAGGCACCTCATCTGCTGTTCTTTTTGCCGTTCTAAAATTTTTTAATATATTTTCCATTATTCTCCCTAGACTGTTGGATTTAATAAAGATTTTCTTAATGGTGTGGTACTAATATTTTTGGACGTTTGCTCTTGCTCCAGCAAGAATCGACCATCTCTTGCCGTTGGTTATATTATATCCTTTGGGAAACCAACTGTTCATTTAACTAGAAAAAAATAGTTGAAGAAGCTGAGTTATATATATATGTATTGCTAGTTTTAGCCATTTGTTTTGCTAATCTTTGCTGCCATTAATTGATGAGATGTGCAGACCTACAAGGCTCAGAGGAATGCAGTCTTGTGTGTTTCCGCATGCCTTCTTTACTGGTAAAAAAACGGCTTTGGCTTCGTATGTAATCTTTACCCCTCGAATTATTTCTCACACTATTCCTTACATGCGTGCTTTTAAATTGTGTAAATATAGGTGTATCTACCGAATCTGCAAGTATCATAGGGATATACAAAGCATGGAGGAAGTGGAAAAGAGCTACAAAGAGGAGTAGAATAATACTAGTAGTTACCGTAACCGAGTTTTTATGTTTTCTTGAAGACTGTGATCTCCTGTATGGGTGTACTGTATGTTAGTTCCTTTAGTTCTTTCGGCATCTATAAGTTTCTGTGAAGGCTAAATTTATCGCAGTCATGTTTAATTAGTGCAATTTTTCGAAAATAAATAACCGGTTGCGCAGAAATTATTCATCACTGATGTGCTATGATGCTCGGAAATTTCAATCTACACGCATTTCCACGTTTTGGAACTCCATGATACCTATCGGAAACATTTCGGGGTTGTTTCCATATATATTTAAAAGTTTCGGGAATGTTTTATGATAATAATGAAAATTTGGAAACGTGTTTCCACACAAAATAAATCCAAATTTCATTTCAAATAAAAACTCGGAACTGCATTCGCTTAAAAAAATCTTAAATGTTATGCCTCTTTTTCACTTCTAATAATGTTTTAATATTTTTGTAGATATTAATTCCATACTAAAATAAATTTATATGCCCCGTGTAATTTGTGGAATGATATCAAATATTATAATATTTTTTTAGAAATTATGGATGCATCACTATATTTTTATTATTAACGTGTTTTCCCATGTTCCCGTATCCAACTTTTTATAAAAACGGAGTTTTCTCGTGTCCGTTTCCCTGTTTTCCCGTGTCCGTGCGACATAGCTGATGTGCGAATTAATGTGTAGGTGATCTGAGAAAATATGGTAAGCGACATTGTTTCTATCTATATAATTTTGTGTGGTTAATAGAATCGATCTTTTTCCTAAGGAATCATAACAAAATCAAAATGGATCCGGAAAAGGATTAATTTGCTGATCAAAACCAGCATTTTCGGAAATTTTTGTTACAAGTTGAAACCCAAAATTTTGTTACAAAATAACGATTAGAGCCATTATACTCGAGCTCAAATTATTTATGCATTAGTTTTTTCTAGTAGAATACAAAATTGAGCTCGGAGTATAATGGCTCTAATCGTTATTTTGTCAAATTGCTGCTTTGTCAAGCTGATACGTCTTTACATTTATTTAAACCTACACGATCTAGTAATTATTGTGAATTAACAACGCTCACGATTAAGTAACTTTCTAAATCAACAATTTTGATCTATCAGCTGAAAACCGACATTCCAATGATCATTCAGGGGTCGGGGTTTTCCAAACATAACCCGATTGTTCGGATCGTGGAATTGGCGGATAAAGATAAAAAAAATTGTGGTCATGTCTGTCCATTTTATACTATTTTTGCGGTGGTTTGAATTTTCAAGTAAAAATTCGTATATTTTCAAAATTTGTATCTATAGTAACTATTTAGACGACTACGACTCATTAAAAATAAAATTAGTTTATTTAAAAGTGTAGAACATGCACTTTGTTAAACTTCGTCCAACTACTTAATCGACGGAATAAGAGAGCGTTGAGTTAAATAACGAGTTTGAATTCCAATTGCAAATGATTTATATATAGGTCGAACTTATAAAACTTAATTATATTATCTAGGGTTTACTCTTTTGCTAAATACATTTTTTTGTATATAACGCACCAACATAATTGAGTGAAAAATATTTTTATTAAAAATAAAAAAGAAAATGATAAATTCTTGTATAAATCGAGAGTTTAAATTAAAATTAAAATTAAAATTAAAATCTCCCAATTCTGCCATAACCTTCAACCCCCAACCCATATCTCGCAGACGCTACTAATCCCCCACCTCAGCCGATCCACCTCCAACCCCCACCACCGCACCCGGCTCTTCTCCTCCGCGTTTTACAGTCTAGAAGATGGAACACGGCGACGATGTCGGCGGCGAACACCAGGAGAAGCACGATGATGAGGGAAGACACGGCGACGAGGTCACACAATTCTAATTTTACTTATTTCTCCATTTTTTTTTTATGTTGTTGCTCGCAGTAGATTTTTGTTCCCCCCTTCATATGTGGTAACACAATTGATTCGATTTGAAAGCCGAGCCACAGTGTTTAGCGTTCGTTGTTCTGTTGTTTACTTCAATTTAAGTTTTTGTAATTGATTTTTCGCTTTTTGGCTGTGGTAATTTGTTGTTCCTGCAAGAATATACACGTATGTTTTTATCATTCTGGAAGTTTAGGTGCTCTTATCAGAATTGCATTTGAACTGATTTATATGGTGCAGGAAGCTGTTGCTCGTCTCGAGGAAATTAAGAAATCGGTTGAAGCAAAGATGGCTCTGCGTCAAAGTAATTTGAACCCCGACAGACCTGGTTAGTATTTTCTATAGAGGAATTAAGTTGAACTTCACACTAAAATTAGTTGCAGAGTTAGCTTCCGGTCTTTTATTTGCAGTTGAATATGTACACACTGTCTAATATAGTTTTTGAAATATTTGGAGTCCCATTAATTTAATCAAATGACTACAGTGAATCGGCTACAATTTGAATTTCTGCTTCTGGATATTGTGCTCCCTGCTAGAGATACATTTAGCAAAATTATTATCTTACTTGTATACGTAAATATTTGTGGACTCTATCGGTCTCTCAATTCGCCATTTCTCAGCCCATTTGTTGACACACAAAAGATTCACGTGCTCAGCCAACAAGATGCCAATTTCCTTTAAATGCATAAGTTTCTTCTTATAGTATATCAACTAAATTTCAAAGCAATTTGGTTTTGCTTCTTTATGCATCGAAGCGCAATCATTGATGTCTTACAAATGTAGTTTTACACATTCAATTTTTGAATCTGGTTATGCAGATACTTCACTGAACTTAATCTAAGGAGCTTTATATATTTTTTTTTAATTTCTTAATTGAGATTTCTAAGCTGAGGATTAGGATGAAGCTTCTGTGAATATAATATGGTGCATTGACGGAGATGAATGTAAAAGGAACCTTTTAAGGTTGGTACTAAGAAGAGCTACAATTGGGAAAAAAATGAATTTGAAAAGGATCTTTTTTTTAGACGGAACCTAATTTTGTTGTGCCAATCAATTCATATTCTTCAGACACATGTTGAGTTGAAGGAGTGATGGATGGCCAATATCTATACCTCTCTTAGATAATTTATTCTGGGATGTTATATTTAGCTAGGTTTCTGTACCCACTCATTAGTGATTGCATGAAATGCTGATTCTGAATAAATATGATATCTATCGCTTGCATTTTTTTGCCATTTTTACCCCAGATGTAGAAAGAGGTTTTAATCTAGCACATTTTACATTTATCCACTGTCTTTCCGCTCCTTATCTCTATCTTGTAATTCATACATATTTCCTAACATTCCCGTCAAATGCAACATGGATAAATATGGCTTTGGTTGAAGATATGGTGCATTTTATTTCTTGCTTGATGTGATATGTTGCCACTGAGAAAGTATTTCCTTAGAAGATGTTCCTTCAATTTGCCCAAAAAAAATATTTTCGAGCGCTTTATTGATTGGTTTGTTGCTAGCACCAAACAACTGTCATGTTCCTTTGCGGCTGCGCTCATAAAGTTCAGCAGGGCTTGAATTTCCATTTTCCCATCTGCTTACTATAATTTAGCCATGAGTCTCAAGTCATCATAGTCTAGGTAGCCTTTGCACTTGTGTAGAACTTGTAGAGCACCAATCTTTTTCCGTAAATACACACTTCAAAGTTGACATGAGCGATATATTCTTTGGGATGGGAGTTATCTTGTATTAACTGTTGATTTGCTACTTGTTTATTGTAGACACCGTCTTTCTCAGAACATTGGATCCCAGCATCAAGCGCAACACAACTGTCATTAAAAAATTAAAGCAGATCAATGAAGATCAGCGAGAAAGTATAATGGATGATTTGCGCAGTGTAAATTTAAGCAAATTTGTGAGCGAAGCAGTAACTGCTATCTGTGATGCAAAGCTTAAAGCTGCTGACATACAACCTGCTGTACAGGTAGCTATTCATTAGCTGTTTGCCTTCTATTTGCAATTTCATGGACTTATAATCTTTTCGCATCTTTTGAACTCAATTACTCAAAGCTTATGGCAATGTGCCCAAGGATAATGATTTATGGTTATGTATTGTGGAAGTAGTAGTTACTAATTAATCGAACTTGAGATTATGTTTATATAGTTGCTACGGGTAGCTGGTTTACTGTTTAGTTTCTCTTGTATGAATCAAAATTCAATTATTGATCTGGATTAGGAGTGTCACTCTTGGGTTTTTGTGTTGGTGCATTGTGATTCCATAACTTTCTCATCTTTCATTCAGGGAATTCAGACTTCGTAATTGATTTGATAGTAGTTTAATCTAGTCAACTCTTGTATATGGATTTCTGGAAAGTAGCTTACCTCACCCCCCAACCGAAAAAAGAAAAAAACTTTTATTTTGTTCGAGTTTCATCCCTCATTTTGCCCCTAAACCCATATGTTTTGAGCACTTGGTTCCTTTGATTTTCTTGTTTTTGTTTCAACATTGGATATTTAGTTTCCCACTGACCTATGGTTGGTTCATAATGAAGCTGTAAATGAATCTGATTGTCTGTTTAATGTAAAGATTAATAATCATAACTTACATGAGAAGGTCTGTAATGTTTAACCAGTAAAATTGCCCTGAATTATTGGTGGATATTCAAATGATATGTGGAATACATGTGCTCAACAGAATGAGAAAATGTGAAGAGACTTGCCATTCCACCTCTTTTGGTACTTCCGTACTTGCCCGTAAATTGTGAATTTTTTAACTCACATGGTTGCACTTGGGAAACACTTTAAGCCTTGAAGAAAATTTAATGCATCAATTTCAGAAAACCCTTTCGTGGAACAATGATTTGGTGAATTTCAAAGTTATATTTCAGATCAAATAATATTCAGGGGTAGGGACATACTATTCAACTATTTATGGTACAAATAAGTTGAAATCCGTCATATTGGTCTCAAATGAGCTAAACAATTGCAGAAAATGCACTTTAATTGTTAGACGACTGTCAATTAGCATATTCATGATTAAATGATAAAGGTTATCAGCTTTTTTTTCTACTGTTTATGTGAGTTTTTACTTGTTCTCTGACCCTTACTGAAATATTTTTAATAAGAGTTTTCTGGCATCAGATCTGTTCTTTGCTTCATCAAAGATACACAGACTTCTCGTCTAGTCTTGTTAAAGGTCTCCAAAAAGTTTTCATTCCGGATAAATCTGCAGAAGATTTGGAAGCAGATAATAATTCAAGGGCTATGAAGAAGAGGAGTACTTTGAAGCTTCTTTTGGAATTATACTTTGTTGGAGTTGTGGAAAATTGTGCCATCTTCACACAGATCATTAAGGATCTAACTAGCGCAGAGCATTTGAAGAACCGTGATGCAACCCAGACAAATTTGTCCCTTCTTGCTGGTTTTGCTCGACAAGGAAGGTTTCTTCTTGGACTCCCACTAACTGGACAAGATATTTATGAAGAGGTATAACTTATTTAACTTGTTGGTTATGCATGTTATTGTAAATTTTTAAATTGTTGGTCTACCTTCTACGGTTGGGCTGAGGACTCTGATTAAACTAGTTTTTTACTAAATTGATGATTTTGTGGCTTCACATAGTTTCTGTTCATTGACGTAAACTTGTTTTAATGCTTCAAGTCTTAAGATCCAAGTTCCTAAATTATGCAAAAGATTTATGGTTATATATATGGGACAAAGCCAAAAGTTGATCAGTATAGACTTTTCATGTTGATTTATAGGCAGGTTTAGTTTGAGGTAAATCTTCTATTTTTTGTGGCCAAATATAACTCGTAGCCCATCGTCATATAATGGTACAAGATGCATGGTGTGATTTCCCTATGATGTTGATGGATGAATGATTATCAGTTGTTTAAGTTGACTGATAGCTTAATTTTGTGATGGTCGCCTCTATTACCAGAAAGTACATATGTTTACCTGGCAGCATGTTCTGTAATGTAGTTTTGACCGCATGAATTGATATGATTATTTCAGAATTGAGTAGATATAATATGTCAATCATTTTGCAGTTGAATTAATTTTGTTTGTGCTGATATTTCACAGTTTCTCAAGGGCCTTAATATCACGGCAGATCAGAAAAAGTCATTTCATAAAGCATTTCAAACATACTATGATGCTGTCGTGGAACTTCTTCACGCTGAACATAGTGTAAGGAATTCAGTACCTTATGAATTTTTGGTGTTATATTTCTATTTTACTTATTTATTTATTAATACGCGGGTGTCCTTATGGATGCCCTAATTATTTAACTGATTATCTTTTTAATTCCTAAATGATAGTCACTTCGCCAAATGGAGCATGAAAATGCGAAGATTCTGAATGCCAAAGGTGAATTAAGTGAGGAAAATGCCTCTTCATATGAAAAGCTTCGGAAATCGTACGACCATCTAAGTCGTGGCATCTCATCGTGAGTTGATTGTGAATATGCCCTTCTAGACTTCTATATCCTATATCGAGCCAACTGTATAATATCTTCAGGAATGCTATTAGTTCTGTCTGTCATAGTTTTCCGGTGTCCTGGCTTGTGTTTTTTTTCGCACTTGTGTTGCACCTGCATTTCCCTGGTCTTTTTTCTTTTCCTTTCGTCTGTGGTTCTGCTGAATATTGTCACTTCTTTTTTTTGTTCCTGTAGTTTAGCAGAAGCTCTTGATATGCAACCTCCTGTGATGCCAGATGATGGTCATACAACCAGAGTCACATCAGGGGAGAATGCTTCATCTCCTGTTGCAGGCAAGGAGTCTTCTGCTATGGAAGCCCTGTGGGATGATGAAGATACTAGAGCTTTCTATGAATGCCTTCCAGACCTTAGGTGCTGGTTCATGATTCAATTAATGTGTTCTTCCTTAAATAAAATAATGTGGACTCATATTTCAAACTGATTATTCTTGTTTAGAGCATTCGTTCCCGCTGTATTGCTGGGAGAGGCAGAAACAAAGAATGAGCAATCTTCAAAGACACAAGAACTAAATGTAAGTACTTTACCTTATTTTAGTTCTCTTCACAAATAGTTGATTGGTATATCCAGTCACTTTTTGTAACTTCTTGCTTTTCCCACTAGAAAAACCTTTCAAGTTATCCTTACTGCAGTTAGTAACTATGTGCGGTTTCCAGTTATCATTATGTGGTGCTGGTAATTAGCTTGTTTCTAGCAAGCTTCATTAGCTATGTACTGAGCAATATGGTATCCATGCTCCTCGTGTACGATATGTTTTCTTCCTTTTTTCATTCTTCTTTTTGCTCATTGGGGGACGGGATTGTTGGTTAATTGGTTATAAATCCTTCAAATCATCGAACATTTTGAGTTCAACTCCAAGATTATTTTTTGAAAAAAATGGTCTTAGTTATGTTCTTTTTTGAAGATCTGCACATCAGTTCTGTATGGCTGTTTACAAAAGCTGCTTTATATTTTCTCTTGTTAATATGTTGGGGGCTGTCAAACTCGTGTTCTTCACACGGTGTCATTGTTTGACCGAGATGATAAATAATTTATTCTATTACATTTCTATGGGCTACGATCCTACTGTTTGTTATTTCGAGTTTCTTGTTATGGGCCTCCCCTTACATGATATTGTGTCTTTGAAAGGATGTCACTCCTGAATCAGACAAAGTCCAGATAGATGCACAAGAAAATACCGAGGTTTCGGCTGATTCTGAAACTGTACAGCCGACTCACGATAAAGAAGAAAAAGACAAAGAGAAGTCTAAAGAATCTGACAAAGAAAAGGGAAAAGAGAAGGATACTGATAAAAGAGGAGAAAGTGAAAGGGATAAAACTAAAGGTCTCGATGGAACAAATCTCGAAGCCTTGCTGCATAGGCTTCCGACCTGTGTGAGCCGCGACCTGATTGACCAACTGACAGTAAATTTTACCTTTCTTCCCCAAGCTTCATTGCAACCTTTCAGTCATTTTTGCTATAGATGTGAAGATAAAGATCTAATAATCCATTCTAATTTTTTCAGGTTGAATTTTGCTATTTGAATTCAAAGTCCAGTAGGAAAAAGCTTGCGAGGGCTTTGTTCAATGTTCCAAGGACATCTCTGGAGCTGTTGCCATACTACTCGCGCATGGTTGCCACACTGTCAACTTGTATGAAAGATGTATCATCCATGCTCTTGCAGTTGCTGGAGGATGAATTCAACAGTTTAACCAATAAGAAGGTGGGTAGTAGTTTCATATGCATTATATTCAAACTGAAATGCATTCTTGTCATATATATTCTAAACATTAATTGTCCTATATTTTGCAGGATCAAATGAATATTGAAACAAAAATCAGGAACATTCGCTTTATTGGGGAACTTTGCAAGTTTAAGATTGCCCCTACTGGCATGGTTTTCAGCTGTCTAAAGGTAGGAAAAAGTATATTGCTTATGCATCAAATCAGTTTCCAACTGACCCCATCTCTCTACATGTTGTCTATTACATTCCAAAGATTATGCTTTACTGTTATGAGAAGAGCTTGTTTGCCTTATGTTTTATCTGTTTGCTGCTATAGTGAGTATTTTCTCCCATTGTGTGAGGCAATATAAGATTTTTGTTTCTAAATTTGCTATGTGATACACTCAATCATTGAGTTTTTGGCGGTCCCACATTTCTTTTGCTTATTGTTGAAGTGATATGTGCTATACTGCTTCAATGGATGGAAATGTAATAAATGATTTCAATTTTAGTTCATGTTCGTCCTCTTAGATTGGTAGCTAAGTTATAGTCAGACGGAGCCAGTATTTTCTGGGTTTTTTACTAGCTGACAGTTTTCTCTGATTTCAGACTTGCTTAGATGATTTTATGCACCATAATATAGATGTTGCTTGCAATCTCCTTGAGACGTGTGGTCGTTTTCTCTATCGGTCCCCTGAGACCACTATACGCATGTCAAACATGTTGGACATCCTGATGCGCTTGAAAAATGTAAAAAATTTGGACCCTCGTCAGAGTACCTTGGTGGAAAATGCTTATTACCTGTGTAAACCACCAGAAAGATCTGCACGAGTCTCCAAAGTTCGTCCTCCTCTGCATCAGGTAGTTTTGCTATGCATGGCTGTTATGATTTGCCGTATTATGGAAAATTGTCCTAACCATGTTTATGGTGTATTCAACAGTATATTAGGAAGCTACTATTCTCAGATCTCGATAAGTCTTCCATCGAACATGTTCTGCGACAGTTACGTAAGCTACCTTGGAATGAATGTGAGCCATACCTTTTGAAGTGTTTTTTAAAGGTTCACAAGGGGAAATATGGTCAGATTCATTTGGTTGCATCTCTTACTGCTGGTCTAAGTCGCTATCATGATGACTTTGCAGTTGCTGTTGTAGATGAGGTTAGGTCTTCAAACTCCAATTCTGTCTAGTTCTGCAATTTTATCTTTAATTTATGCTGTTTACATTGTGAACAATTGGATTCAATGGGAAATTGAACAATTGGATTAAATGGGAACAATTGTGAACAATTGAACAATTATTTATCATCTCAGTTCGATTTATTAATTTGTGTTGCTTTTGACCCTACAAACCGGAGATATTTTGTCCAGTTTTTTCATGAGTTGAGTTTTCATACTTTGTGAGAGTTTTTGTGTACTCATCAAGTACATTGTCCTTCATATTTCAAATTCCAATAAGTTTCTGTAAATGAAGTTGCATCAACAAATATTCTTTTTACAGATGAGCTTCCAGTCGACCGTGTTCATATATATGTACTTCCTTCGTAATGCAGAGTGGTTTGAAAAGTTTGCTAGCATTTCAGTTAAGCAATATCCGTTGGAGTATTTTCAGTCAGGGGCATGATATTTTTAGCCCTTTGGGGTGAAACTTATGTGACTTGAATTAGGCATTTTGAATATATGATTTGTTTGCACAAGACCATTCATTTTTATATAATAAATATGTCGTGGTATGCTTAAATACTAATTATCGATAAAGAAAGACTTCATGCAATCTTTACTATTTTCTTTCAAAATAATCTTAAGTTTCCAACTTAGTTATACATTCAATTTCAGGAGTTTAAAGTTTAAGTTGCATTCTTAAATCTCATAAAATACATCTAACTTCCATTATTAGACAACTTTCACATGAATAAGTAAAGTCTTATCACTGACTAATTTTATGTACATAGTTTAGCACTGGATTATGCATTGCTGGTGCGATACATTTTGTTGCCTTATAAATAATTATTTTGTGGCCACGTTCATTTTTATTATACAAGATCATACGTTGCAATGCTTTAAGTTGCTTTTTGTGCAGTTCAGGCCAGTTAAATAGCCATCAATCCTGTGGAGGGTTAACCCTATGGAGTTTCTTTTTGTCCGTGATGAAGAAATATTTTAGTTGTTCTGGAAAGAATTTGTCACCCTAAGTTATCTTATGTCAAGCATCAACTTAATTTGTCATTGTCGTCTTTGATGTTTTCCATATGTAATTGTGGTTTCGGCTTTAGCATGTTGCTCGTGAATATACCGTGGTTGCCGTAAATTTTGCACGTCTTATAGGCCAGTTGTGCATAATAAACTTTGTTGAAGACTGGTTGAGGTAACTCTGACGAGATATGTAATTCTGTGTTTGGATTCAGGTTTTGGAGGAAATTAGACTGGGATTAGAGCAGAATAACTATGCAATGCAACAACAACGCATTGCATACATGCGTTTCTTGGGGGAACTCTACAACTATGAACTTGTAGATTCATCTGTTATTTTTGATACACTCTATCTGATTCTTTCTTTTGGCCATGGGACAACAGAGGTATCGATTTCTCACTTGCTATGATAAATTGCTCATTTTTTAGAACTAGATTATTTAGTGTGCTGCAAACTTAGATTGCATAGATTTTTCATGCTTAGCTTGTCATGGATCAGTTTGATATGGACCAATTCGTTTATATACATTTGAGAATAAACTGAAGGAGCTTTGATAAGATTAATTTTTTCTTGTGCTAAAATCTCTTTCTGCTGATTACTATAAAAAACGCTTACTCATTATTGTTAAATACTTAATGCTGTGCACATGAGTGATGAGACCATTGGTTTGGTTCTTTAATGGAATTATTGTTCTAACTGAGTTTTTCATTTATACACTTCGCTGCTATATACATGAAAAAATGTCAATCTATTAACTTTTGATATCCTCCTTGAAGCATGTTTAGTTATTGACCTCAACTCCTTGAAGAATCAATAGCTTATTATGCATATGGTGGAACAGAATCCTCATTCACTATGCCAATAAGCTAGAATGATTACATGTTTCTTCCTTGATGCATACAAAATAAAAAATAAAATTAGTTCGACTATTTATTTCTTTCTTATACAAAAATTGTTTAACTGATAACTGATCCAAAATCTACACTGATCTGGAATTCCATGCATTTTTGGCATCTTATGTCTTCAGTTGTTATAGTTAACACCTTCTATTTGCTATGATATTTTGGAGTTTAAGCAGTACTGATTGGATGCTTTATTTCATGATACTAGCAAGACACATTGGATCCTCCAGAAGACTGTTTTCGTATCAGAATGGTTGTTACTCTTCTCGAAACCTGTGGGCATTATTTTGATAGAGGTTCATCAAAGAGGAAGCTTGATCGCTTCTTGATTCATTTCCAAAGGTACATACTGAGCAAAGGTGTTCTTCCCCTGGATGTTGAGTTCGATCTGCAGGTCAGTATTTTAACTTGTATGAGTTCAATTTTTTTTCACGTCTTCATGTCGGAACTGTTTCTCTAAAAAGTGGATTTAGGAAAATACATCCAGTTTGATGCAATAAGGATGTTCTGATCATTCAAAATATTGTAGGACGGAAATGCACATTCTAATCGATTGTTTATCTCGTTGCAATAATTTGAAACCGCTCTTTCATTTTTAGAAGTCTATCTGGACTATAACCTTTCTTACGTGCACTCGCAAATGAATTCAGGACTTATTTGTCGAGTTGAGACCAAACATGATCAGATATTCATCATTTGAAGAGGTTAATGCTGCTCTAGTTGAACTCGAAGAGCTTGAGCGTAGAGTTTCAACAGAAAAGTCTCACAGTGAGAAGCACTCGGACTCAGAAAAACCTCCGAGGAGGAAGAAGAGTTCTAGCACTCTATCTGCCAATGGACGAACTCACACAAACGGCGTCGAGGGAAATGGTGAATTGCATCAAAATGTTGCTGGGGAGACGGATAGTGATTCTGGGAGTGGCACCATTGACCGTATTGACCGTGATGATGATGAAACAGATAGAGAGAATCAAGACGAGGGCTGTGACAGCGAAGATGATTATGATGATGGAGGTGGTGCCGCCTTTGATGAAGATGACGAGGTTCATGTTAGGCAGAAGGTGGCGGAGGTTGACCCTCAGGAGATGGCTGATTTTGACCGAGAACTGCGGGCCCTAATGCAGGCAAGATTTTGTTATTTGCTTTTGGTATTATTATTTACGTTCACTAGTAAACGACATCTGCATTTGCACGTAGTTCATGTGATTTTAGTAAATTGTTTATATGTTGTTTAATGATTTGATTGATTAAAAATCAGCATTAAAATCCATATGAAATAGTATTTAATAGAAATCTAAGCAATACAAATTATTCTAAACTTTAAAATCGACAAATTATTTTGGTGGGAAAAAGAAAAGCTGAAGCACACAACTCTCATGAAAAAATAAACAAAAGAGGAATGATACATGATGGGAGGAAGATGAACAGTAGAGACTATTGAATGCATTGATTGTGACATCAATCACATAAGTAATCCACATTTGAACTTAGTGATAGAGGTATAAAAAAGGAGTTGAGAAAAAATAAAACATTCATACTTTTAAAGGTTTACATGATAAATCTAATTGTGGTACTTGTGGCAGTGTACGGAGGAAGAAGTTATATGAATTGTCTCTTTTACTTTTCTCATTATAGCGTAAAATTTACTTGAAGTATGAATCAAATGTTCTAAAATTATATTTTACGAACGGGTGCAGGAAAGCTTGGATTCAAGAAAATTGGAGTTACGCTCACGCCCAACTATAAACATGATAATACCAATGAATCTGTTTGAGGGCCCCACCAAGGAACACCACTCAAGAGTAATGGAAGGTGAAAGTGGCGACGATACAACAGATGAAGGGAATGGCGGAACTAAAGAAATCCGCGTGAAGGTACTTGTCAAACGTGGTAATAAGCAACAGACGAAGGAGATGTACATTCCCCGTGATTGCTCTCTTGTCCAAAGCACTAAACAGAAAGAAGCAGCCGAGCTTGAAGAGAAGCAAGACATTAAAAGGCTCGTCTTGGAATACAACGATAGAGAAGAGGAAGAACTGAATGGAGGGGGGTCTCAGCCCTCAAGCTGGACTCAAAGTGGCGGCAGAGTCTCAAACACTCGGCCCACTTGGGATGGACAGAGTAGGACTAGCGGTGGATCACGACATCGGCATATTTATCATTCGGGTGCTGGAATCTACTACGGTAGGAGAAGATAATTTTTATTTTTCCACAAGCATTTACAAAAAAAAAAAGAAAAAGGAAGGATTGCAAGATTGTGGTATTTGGTGAGTTTACATATTTACGAAGAAGTGCTCGTAAAATGTTGTGTAGAGCTCTTATTATAGGACTTATTGTTGTGTTCATATTTGTTGATAGGTGATGAAAACGTGGAAATGTGTGTAGTTGTTTGTAGAAGGTAGACTTCTACTGAATAGAGATGTGTTTAACTTAGTTTTGTGTAAGAGATACGTGGTGGTGATTGTCCCGTATTTGGTGTTTCTAGTCCGAGAATGTAGTTTCTTACATGCTCTGCCTAACTGGGTTAAATTTCTTTTGACATTTTCCTGGAGAGGTGGGAAGATCCAATGTCTATTGCATTATTCTGCCCCATATTTTATTTTTATTTTTAATTTCAAATTATGTTACAAATTGCGGAAGTAGAGGAGGGACAGTATTCGTACCCTAGACATCTACTCTAAAATGGTATGTTTTGATATTTTGAGATTAATTTTTTTTTTTTTTTATATATTGCAGCAGTTAAATTATGCTTAAATCTGTTGGAAGAAAAAGAGTATTAGAAAATGAAGTTATGTTTGTTTCATTTCAACAAAAAAGTCATCTTTGTTCATATATTAGTGAAAATATTTGTTGTTTATTAAAGTTTTCAAAGTCTTGTTTTCTGAAAATTTGATGGCTTACATAGTTTCATTTGGGGATAGAGTGCGACGAAATTGAATCGAATGTGTTGTTGGTTTAAACATGCTTTAGGTGGTGGATGGTGAACCATTACAATTCATAATAAACAGTAAACACAAATTAGACCTTCACACATTCGTGTATTGTCAGTTGAACGTAGCATCTCAAAATTACGCTTCCGTACTTGAAATACCCACGCAAAACAAATATATCAACTAGTTCTGTTTTACACACGCTGTGCACCTGATACAGTGCATTAATTTTTTCGCCTAAAAAAGGTAAATAAATGCTGATTAAGTTGGTTCAATTTTGATGCATAAACTGAAACACAAACATGTAAACCGAAGAATGTTATGTTTAAATGACAGCCGAACACGTAAATTTAGAAATGTATAGTTACATTAGAAGGCTTTCCTGAAAGCTCCATAATCTCATCTCACACCCATCAATAGTCGGTACCAATGGGATTTTTGTATTCCCGGGGGGAAGGAAATATACGTAAGAAATTTTCTAAGGGGGCGGCAATACTAAAATACATGGAAATTAACTAGTCTATGGGTGGGGTGGCCCCTCATTGGTTCAAATTTGCAGGGTCGAGAAAATTCCCGGCCACGCTACAAATGCTGACATCAATAGTAAGAGATGCTGTACACAAGCTTCCTGTGGTTTTGCCTCTCGAAGTTCATGATGACATCATCGACAGAATCCTCCCAGTTTTCAGTGTTCTCGATCTGGCACATTAACAGCAAACAGTCAAAACTTGCTTATTTAGATCTTCTGTTTTTAGGACAAGGGTAAAGAGAAAATGTAACCTCTTGGCAGAGCTGTAGAGCGAGCCGACCCCCTATAGCTGCCTCCTCATGGTTATCTTTTACTTCCAAGTTTATGACTAAAACTGGCTTCAAGAGCACATGGTTACGATTATGTAAATCTGCAATATTTTACACAAGTTGAATTAATCAATTTACGGAAGATAATTACGAGTAACCTCCTCTAAAACTAGAGATGTGTATATATATGCTCGCATTTAGAGGAGTCTATTTGGTACGTTGAGCTTGTTTTGATTGATTCATTTCACAACGGGATTTCAAATTCTATCATCAAAGTCGGACGGATAATAAATTACGGTAATGACACCACGACTCAAGTCACAATATACCAAAACCTCCGGGGGGGAAAATGGTCCTTTACATTGGGACAAAAAAAATTCGTTCAATTCCGAATCCTTGACGGGCTAAAATATAAGACAACCCAAATAGTTTCGTCCTAACAGTCGATACCGAACAAGTGAAAATAAGGAGAAACTGTAATCTGTTGGGGTATGTAAATCAAATAATTGGTTCATTAACTCCACAAATTAAAACATGCTAAAGAACGATGACGATGTTAATAGGCATACAAACCTTCAATAACCGCATCAAAAACCTTTTCTTCAAACGTAAGCACCACGTCAAATGTACCATCAGCTGCATTATCCTGCCAACGCTGAGGTGCAAGTTTAACTCCTAAGTTCCTCTTCAGCATTGGCAGTATCCCGTTTCGCCGATACCTGTAAAACTGCGACTTGTGAGGCTCAAATACTCAATCAATCATCAAACTAAAACTCAGCTCAATGCATTTATACATATACATATACATATACATAGCATCAAATATCGCGGATTTTGATTCAAAGTAAGTTATGGACTTCAATTCCAAAATCAATCCAATTATATACATGTATTTACATTTGAATCAGCAAATCCATGGAACAATAATTCTCTTCAATAATTGTTTCAGAAAAATCACATAATTAATTGCAGAAATATTTTATTGGGATAGAGAAAAAAAAGAAAAGAAATCAATCATACAATTCGGTGTCTTTGCGGCGAAGGTCTTCGAACATGTGCTTGTAAGGTGTGCCGAAATCGTAGACGTTGGGTTCTCTGAGGGAGGGACCAGGTAGCTTAACGTGTTGCCCTGTGCCGTACGATGCCACGTCGAACCCTTCTCTCTTCAACACAGCGTGCGCCTCCATACTCCTGTTCTGGTTCGACGAACACACCATTGCGTGCCGGAGTTTCATCTCTCTCTCTCTCTCTCTCTCTCTCTCTCTCTCTCTCTCTCTCTATAACTTCTCTCTCTAAACTAGCTTTGGTCTGGGAGTAGAATCAGTGAAGATGAGAACAAGGTGCAAAACTTTGGTCTTTGAAATTGGGGCTTTTTTGCCCTACATTTAGTTCTTCACTAGGAAAATAATAAGGGGAAACTACAGATAAATCCCTAATCCAAAACTCAAAACACAGATCAGTCCCTAGGTAGTTTCCCTAAGCAATTCAGTCCATATTCACGCGTCTGACATGCAGATCAGTCCCTAATGTGAATTTTATATATTTTATTATATTCTCTCTCTTCTTTTTCACTCTCACCTTTTTCTCTCTCCTCATTTTCTCTCTCTTCATTTTCTCTCTCTTCATCTTCTCTTTCTTTCTTCTCTTTCTTCATTTCTATCTGCTCTCTTTCTTCTCTATTTCTTCTCTCTTTCTCTCCTCTGGTTTCCTCTTTTTCCAAAGAAAATATCATTGTAAAACCCACCCACCCCACAATGGCTACAAATGATGTATCTAATGATGTACCCACTGTGATTCTTGGAAGTTGTCGATATAAGCATCTGATAATGAAGATGAGTGTGGTCGACATTGTCGTGATCCGCAAAGATGAAGCTAATTCGCGTGGAAAGAGGGTTCGCACCGATGGCTGGTAGGTCTCCATATTTTTCTGTACTGCTGAAATGCATTTCTTTATGGTCGTTAATTATTGTGATACATAGTATAAAATATGGCACGTAATAGTATCATGCTAATATAAATATGGTATGGACGTATGGTACTTACAGTACGTAATCGTTGTTCGTATAGTATGCGTGATTGGTAAATTTGGTACTGTTGGTGGGAAAACATAGTATCATATAATGGGGAAGATAGTACGTAACCTTCATCTGAATAGTATGGGTGATAGGTAAATTTGGTACTGTTGGTGGGAAAACATAGTATAATATAATGGGGAAGACAGTACGTAACCATTATTCGGATACGTACAAGCAGGTATATCAATTCACGATTAACCCAATTCCCTCGTTTGATGACTTTGACTTGTACGATGCGTGTAATGCTCCGCCCGATGTCTTTGTTAATGCAGCTGATTGAGAACTCGACCAGGACGTAGAAAGACAAAAAGAATTCATTCACAAGTGCAGTTCGGGTTTTACTGTTGCCCACACCATGGTTACTCCCATTGGTGTGAACCATTTGAAGTTGGGCAAACTTTTTCCAACTCAAATCGTGAAGAAAATGAAGCTACAAGTGCGTCGATGAACCAAGTCCATCGAGAAAGTGAAGTGAAGAATTGCAATTCTGAAGGTGGAGTAGTTCATAGTTTGATAGTGTTGAATCTAGTAATATTTGCAGTCTACATGCTATGTAAAACATATGTACTGTTGTTTAATTAGTGAACATGAGTACAATGTATAAGCTGGTAAAGTTAGGGTTATTCGTGAATATGGTACGTTTTGTACACATGTGAAGTACAAGTGATTCGTGACTATAGTATGCTTTGTTCACTGATAAAGTATATGTTTGCCATTCATATAGTATTGTTACACTCTATATATTATTGTTGGGCCAATGCATCCATATGATCGCATTTTAAGACACAACTCTTCAGTTTAAGACTATTAAGAATGAATAGGAACAATGTGGGAGTCGATCAACATCGATTATGGTAAGTTTTTCGTGAATACACATGTGAAGTACGCTTTGTTCATCAAGTAAGTACAAGTCTAGTGTTGACAAAGTGTCTTCGAATAGACTAGAAAGTATTTGTTGCTCATTTTTATGGTACGCTTATATTCTTTATACAAACTAATTAATCGCAAAATAAAGTACCATGTGTTCAAAAGGTAAGTACATTTCATCGAAACATATAGTACAATGTATACAATGGAAAAGTACGAGTAGAGCTAATCAATAGTATTATTAGCTCTACAACAAAAGGACAGATTGTTTATGGCACAAAAAACACATTCATCTATTTGAAAAGCGATCGGTGAGCACCTGCAGCCTATTGATAGCTTACTGCAATCTTCTTTTACATCAATTCCTGCAATTACATACACATAAAACTACAATTATAACAAATACAACGTACTATAAAGTTCAACTACTAGTACTTCCAGTAATTTCGTTCAATACCATCCAAATGCACTAGCAATACCATTGTTGCATATGACACATACTACACTACAATCAAACATTATACTATTCGAATGCACTAGCAATATCACTCAACAGCACTAGCAATACTATTGTGGCATATGACTTATACTACAGAACCACCAAACATTATACTTCAAGTACCCTGTGTCAATACCATCTAAATGCACTATTAATACCATTACTGCGCATGACACATACTATAGAACCAGTACGAAAAATACAATAAGCCTCTTTCCCATATCATAAGAATAATACCCAAGAGAAAACTATTACAAAATCATGAAATTCGACAACAAATAAATGATCTTTGCAAACCCAAACAACAGAACAACAGATATTGGAACCGATTTAATGATTAGGGGAAACACCGAATAAAGTCGAGGCATAATACCCATGAGTGGATATGTTCAAAATCATGCAATTCTATAACAAATTAACCTTTTGCAAGCTCAAGCAACACCCAAATGGGTCTGTTTCCAATAAAATGAAAAAAAAAAAAAAAAAAATCAAACCTTGTTGTTTACCATGCTTCACCATTGTCTATAAATGGGTTTGTTTATTTTTATTTTTCCTTTCGCTTTATTATTTTTCTGCGTTTTGTTGATTCTTCGTGCTTCGTAATTTCTTCGTTCTTTGTTGTTTCTTTGTTCTTCGTTTCTTTGTTCTTCGTTTCTTCTCTGTTTCTTCTTGGTCTGAAAATGGGTATAAACTGGCAAAGAGCGTGTAATACAAACGGCGCGTTGGAAGTTGAAAAGAAGTTATGTAAAATTAATATAAAGTAAAGGGTATTTTAGTATTTGCACATTTTATTAGGGACTGATCTGCATGTTAGGCGCGTGAGTAGGGACTGAATTGCTTGGGGAAACTACCTAGGGACTGATCTGTGTTTTGAGTTTTGGATTAGGGATTTATCTGTAGTTTCCCCTCTCACAAATGAATTACTAAAAGACTGTTATAAAAAGCACAATTTCTTTTCACAAATGAATTACTGAAAGACTGTTATATACTTACTAAAATACAAAATTCATAATTGCAAAACTCCACAATTTTCTTTGTGCAAGACCAACTTTATCTTCTTCACAAGCCTATTTCACACATTCTTCAAAAACAATTCTTCATCTTCTTTAAAAATCTTCAACATCTAAAACCCTCAAATCTTACTGAAACATGCAATGGATAACATTATGGAGTCACGAGACATCAATATGGAAGATTCTAGAGAAAAAACTAGAAAACAAACTATGAATGGATGTATTTATATAGCTAGGTAACCAATTTTTTAAGTTTTCAAAAAAAAAAAAATTCACACAAGTCAAAAATTCGACACATACATGTTGATTTTGTGACAAAAATTGACATCTAGATATTAATTTTTCTCTCAAAAATTCGACATCAACATCTAGATTTTTTGCTACAAAATCAACATCTAAATGTCGATTTTTCACCACAATCAATATGTACAGGTCGAATTTCTTCGTTTTCTTCTTTTCCTCCTCCTCCTGCTCCTCCTCATCATCTTTCCTCCTTCTTCTCCTCGTCTTTCCTCCTTCTTCCTCTATCTTCTTCTTCTCTTCCTCTTTAAACACCGGCGATTGCACGAAGGTTGGGTGACAATGGTATGGTGACGGCGGTCAAGCGGATGTGGTGCGCTTCATCGGCAGCGGCACACGGTGGTCCTTCGGCGGATGGGCGGTAGTTCTTCTCGCCTTGTATTCTTCTATTTTCCCGCTAGAGCATTCCCTTTCGTTTTTCAATTTATTATTTTTATTTTTATATTTTCTTTCTTTTTGGTCTTGCAATAATAATCAGGCCTAACTTAATGAATAATATCCAAATCAATATTGGGGTTATATTTGTTAATTCGAATCTTGCTTTCAACAAGTAAGGTCTTGCCCTTAGAAATTTTGAGATTGCAAATATTTGCTACCTATCGATATTTGAAACGTTAAATCATAAATGTCGTTTCAATTTCACAAATACTGTTTCGCTTGAACGTGATGTTGACCCTTTTCCAGTCTGATTTTGGTAATTTTCAAAACACGAAAATTGTAGTCATTTGAGTTAACTTTCTAATCCAACGTGAATAAAGTAGATTGAATATTGGGTGACAAAGTTATTCATAAATGAGTTACATTCTGAATTTTAGATAACTCAAAACATCAAAATGGTGGGCATTGTTCATTGATTCATCCATATCTTTCTTACACGACATGTAATCTTGGTGATTCAAAGTTTGATTTAAAAATCTAACTTAAACAACTACAAAGTCGTGTTTTGAGTTTTGCAAAATACAGAGTCGAAAATGGTCAAAATCACATTTGAAGTTGAAACAATATAATTAAAATTGAAACAACATTTACAAATCGAGCTCAAGCATTTATCAATCCACTCACCTCATTTACAGTAATACCTCAATAAATTAATAATTTCGGTTAAATAATAAAAAAAATCCATCCCAACTCGAAGACAACATGCTAAAAAAATATTCCGATAAATTAATTTTTCACTAAATTATTAGAATGTACAATATTCCATAAATTATTTTTTCACTAAATTTAGAATGTACAAATTCCGATAAAAAAAATACTTAACCCACTAACCCATGTTCTTGAGTGCTATTGTAGTTGGTTTTCTTGCAGATCATGGGCTGAGGAGTGGAAGCTTGGAATGTCTATAAATACCGACTTCAAGACTCAAGGAAGTTGATGGATTCTAAGAAATAAAAACCGAGAGCTGAAAAGAATACATGAGATTTTTAATGTGTTTTTAGAATCTGTTTTACGTACTCCTCATGAGTACATTCTTTGTGGTCTAGATTGTTTAGTACATAGTTTTTATGTGTCTAGACTTGGTTGTACGAATGATCAAGATAGTGATTCATTCATAAGAAAGAAGTTTTTTACGTACTCCTCATGAGTATATTCTTTAAAATTTAGAATTTTTAGTATTTATATTTTCGTTTCTAGATTTGATTGTAACAACGATCAAGTTAGTGATTCATTCATAAGGAAGAAGTTTTTGTCCTTCTTCTCTTTGTATTCTTGTAATACTGTTTTAATATAATTTTTCCGTCCTCTAAAGGGCAAGTTCACAAGTTTATACTTGTGAACATTTTTAGATCTGAGTATTGTCTTTATATTTCCGCTGCATGTTTATTCAAGTGTCATAACACTTAAGATAACACCTATGTATTAAACGAATTCGGGACCATAAATTCTTTCAAATTTGACTAATCTCAACTATATGAATTTATAAATGTTTAACTGTACATATCTAATATGAACTAGTGAACTATAATAGCATACAACATATATTGTACATTATATACTTGTACATTAAATTGGGACCAGTATTACATATGTTCAAATAAAATTTAAACAATTATTTTTTACTACAATTACTTATTTTTCTCACCATTCAACCATTTTCTCACAAAATTACTTTTAAACAAAAATAGTAATAGTAAACAATAAAATGGCAACGATTCAAACTACAGAGGAGGAAAATGTAAAAAGTAAAGACCCAGAGGAGCTGGATGCAAATAATGTGTTTTCTAATTATTGGAGATTTATATTTAATTGGAAAAGAATAATTATCTGGGGATTTTGAATGCTTGTAGTTTGTTGCAGAGAAGGCCGGGTGGTAGTGGTAGTAGTACCGTTGATTGAAGATGGAAACAGCTGCCCCTTTTCAGTCATCTTTCACCCATCCTCCTCTAAACGGGTCGACCCGACCCAATCCCTCCCGGGTAGGATCCAATTCCATCCTCTCCGGCGCCTGGCTTCAGGTAACAACCCACCATTTCGAACTCTGTACGCGAATTAATTAATTAGGTTAACTTATTTGTCGATGTAATTGACTGTTACAAATTCTCTCAAAATTTGTTTTTTTTTTTTTTGTTTTGTTTAATAGTTGTATGTAATCCTAATTGTTGAATCGTAATATGTAATGGATTGTGGGATTTAATCAAGCCTTGTTCGTAATTTTGTTTCTTTTTTTGGATTTTTCGGATGAATTGATAAATTGTCATATATGTTGAATTGCAGCAAAGACTGTCGATTTCTGGTGTGAATTTGGGCAACAGTAGAGTTGGCTTTACGAGCACGAAGAAGCTTTCGATCAGAGTGTTCGTCCTCTTTTCGATTTTAAGCTTTGGAATAGTTTATTCATTTGTGTGGATTATTGTTGTTGTCCTCAAACATTGAAGTGTATTACGGTGGTGTTTGCAAAAGCTTTTCTGAAATAGTTTATATCTTAATCGAGATTATTTCAAGCTTTACTCACAATCACGAACTTCCTACTTTTTTGAAAAGCTTTTTGCAAGAACCACCTAAGAGAATTGTGTTAGACTTTGTTGTTTGATGGGATTCTTTCGTTTTTTTTTTTCAGGAGAATTGCAGAGGTGAAAGCAAATGAAAGAAGAAAGACACTCGAAGAGATATTGTACGCATTGGTGGTGCAGAAATTCATGGATGCTGATGTGGCCTTAGTTCCGAACATAGCATCTGGTACTCAGATTTCTCCACTCAGTTCTTCAAATCATGTGTGTTTATTTTGATAATTCTTTTGTCTCTAGTTATTGTTCATTTCAATTTATTAATTTGTTTCGGTTTGTTGTCAAATTTCTGTCACATACTGTTATTTGAACGTCGACTTGAGCTGGAAATTTCCAGTTTTTAGTTTCAAACGGAAAATGTTGCACCAGTTCTGGTTTCCCTTTGAGCCTACAATATCTTATTCCCGTTTTTCAGTGTGATTGCACAATTTGAAATTTAGAATGGTCTTGTTGGATTAGTATGTACATATGTTCATTGTTGCGAATCGACATCAAATGGATCAAAATAGGATCGGGTTATGAATATTTCATGATTCTTGGGATAGCAAATATTTCGATTCCATATAAATTTATACGAGTTATTCTACATTTTTCGTTTCCTTTTATGCGACCAACTTGCAATTTCCCCTGTGGTATGAGGAGGTATCCCTCAACTGTTTTTGAAACTTAGTAATTCAAGAAAATTTTGTTAACTTGCCGAATTATATATATGTATGCTAATTATTTATTCGGACAGGGGAAGATAGATACAGAGTTGATAACCAATGGGCAATCATCGGTGGGGTAGGAAAAGGCGGTGGAGTATTGGACAAACCAGTAATAGAAAAGACAAATCAAAATCCAGGGCGCGAATCCGAGTTCGATTTAAGGAAGTCCCGGAAAATGTCGCCACCGTACCGTGTGATGCTGCACAACGACAACTTCAATAAGAGGGAATACGTGGTGCAAGTCTTGATGAAAGTCATACCCGGTATGACCGTGGACAATGCGGTCAACATAATGCAAGAAGCGCATATCAATGGCTTGGCCGTCGTAATAATATGCGCGCAACCTGACGCGGAAGAACACTGCACGCAGCTTAGGGGCAACGGCCTTTTGAGCTCCATTGAGCCTGCCTCCGGTGGCTGTTGAGAAAACTCGTCGATATAAAATCGTAGGGCGGAGATGTGTACGTATTTGTTATGTTATGTACATATAGAAGTTGGAAATCGGTGAATGGTTTCTATCTTGATTTACGTACCTATCGTATATTGATATTTAGCCTATATATATATACATACGGACGGAGATACTAAACTCGCTTCATATTAATGCACCTGTGGGTGGATTGTAGTTTTGCCTTGTGGGTATTTGCTTGTCCATTTTTTTTTTCTTTTCTTTTCTTGGATGGATCTGTTGGATGTATAAATATTAAATGATACATCTCACTATCAGCTTAAACTTTTGGTTGAGTTTGTCATTCAATCAGTTTTCTAAGTGTAAGACCGTATCATGTTTTCCATTAACATCCATATGTGAAAATACTATAATACCCTCACTTAGAAACATTTTTTTTTTAAATAAAACAAAATACAAAACACACAAGACCACAAACACAAAAATCACAAACATCCTATTTGCAAGACCACCTTCAAAATGACAAAATCACCCTTTTCATTTCCTGAAAATATACAACACTTGCTCTTCATAGTTCATTCCCACAAATCCTCAACATTCGAAACCCTAAAATCCTAACAAAAATTACTAAGAAACAAATTATGGAGTCTTAAGACATCAATATGAAAAGGGTAAATTACGGTTATCATCTTGAGGTAAGGTCAAATTACGAAACCTCCTTCCGGATTGGGTAATTACAATCACCCCTCAAATATGAATCTTCTTACATGTCCAGCCTCTGCAGTGTCAAATGTAGTGCTTCTAGATTATATGGAATGTTCTCCAGCTTGTACTCATTTTACCCTATTCTAGCTCCACATTTTGAAACAAGATGATCATAAGATGTGTCTCTTGCCTTGTAAATATCATTGTGGTGCATCAGAAACTACATTTTTGCATAAAACGAATACAATCCAGAGAACATTCCATGGAATCTAGAAAATTATGTTGAATTTGGCACCATAAAGATGAACGTGTAAGAAGATTCATATTTGACGGGTGATTATAATTACCCAAACAGGAGATTTTTTTTTCTTCATAATTTGATCATAATTGAGGGTGATGGCGTAATTTATCCATATGAAAAATTATATAGGAAAAGAACCAATTATTGTATTTTTTTTAGCTAGGTGACTTTTTTTTCTGTTGTTATTCGAAAGCTGTCCATTAAAGAAAAACTCAAGCTAAAACTTTTGTGAAGCGATACAACTCATTTACACATCTAACTGAACTAGTGAGCTCTGGCATGAAACACGTACATTGTATACTTATATATTACACTCTCCGTCCCGTAATATCTGTTATTTTGGGTTGTTACGCACGTATTAGGAAAACTACTAAATGTCCATAGATTAAAAAAAAAAAAACTAGATGAATCACTAAAATAATCTTGTCTTTAATTGTTTCTCAATTAATTTTCAAATGATGAATTAAAAGTGATAAATTATAAAATTAAGAAAAAAAATGCAATTATTGAAGTTTTAAAGTGATAAATAATTTGGGACAAGGAAATTTATTTTAAAGACACAAATAATTTGAGACAAAGGAGAATAAAATTGAGACCATTCTTAAATATGTTTAATTGAAATTGAAATTTAATTTTTTAACCAAAAAAATAAAGAAGTAATTTGTTAGAGTCGGAGGACCTGGATGCAAATAATTTTGTTTTCAAGTAATTGGGATTTTTAATCTTTTTGTTTGTTGCAGAGAAGGTGGTCTCGTCGATTGAAGATGGAAACAGCGGCCCCTTTTCAGTCATCTTTCAGCAACCCTTCACACGTGACGCATCCTCACAGACCCGCTCAAAATGGGTCGACCCGACCCAATTTCTTACGGGTAGGATCCCCCAAGTCCATCCTCTCCGGCGCGTGGCCTCAGGTAACAACTCATTTCGCTTCTATCACGAGGCACGGAGATGAAATTTAGAACAAATAAATTAATTAGGTTAACTAATTTTGTCGAAGTAATGGACTTGTTAGAAGTTTCCCCAAATTCGATTCTCGAGTTCAATGATTGTGTTCTTCAAATTGAATCGCAATTAGGCTTCAATTTTCCGATTTTCATTGATCGTTTTTTTTAATTTTTCGTGACCTTGTTGATTGATGAGCTAATGTATTGTGGGGGTTTACTCAATCGTTATTCCTAATTCGAATTTCGCAATTTCCATGTATATATGTATGTTGAATTGCAGCAAAGATTGTTGATTTCTCGTAAGAATGGGGGAAACTGCGGAGTTGACTTTATGAACACGAAGAAGAGTTGGATCGGAGCATCAATGCAGAAACATTCGGATTCTGGCGGTTCGATTGATCCAATAGCACCACTTGAGTTGGAGTCTCCGATTGGGCAATTTCTGTCGAAGATTATGATAAGCCATCCTCATCTGGTTTCGGCTGCAGTAGAACAGCAGCTCGAACAGCTTCAAACGGATCTTGATGCAGTTAAGGAAGAGTCCTCCGCTTCTGGTACTGAACTAGTATTGTACAGGTTAGTGAAGTGTTTGTCGTTTTGGATTTTCGATATTCGAAAAAGTTGTTCGCGTTTGTGGATCATTGGTGTTGTTCTTGAATATTTAAGTGTATGAGGGCGGTGTGTGCAATAGCTTTTCGGACATAAACTAATGAGCTTTTTTTCCTGTGTTTTGAGATGCAGCTTTTTCTTTTGCTTCTCTCAAAAAAAATAAAAAACTGTTTTAAGCTATAATCTCAAAACCATTTGTGCGACATCTTTTTTGGACATTAAGCTGTGTTCGGGACATTCGTGCCCTTGTTATTTTTATCTAAATTGAGTTTATCAGGATATTTGAGATATTTTAGAAAAATAAGCTGAAAAATTAAAATTTGACTCTATAAGGACATTTTGCAATCACCTCAAGTTTTAAAAATAAAGCAACTTTCCAAGCTTTACTCACGAATCACGCACTTCTACTTTTTGAACAGTTTTTTTTTTTTCTTTTGCGAGAACCCTAGGAGAAATGTGTTTCACCTTGTTGTTTGATGGGATTCTTTCGTTTTTTTTCAGGAGAATCGCAGAGGTGAAAGCAAATGAAAGAAGAAAGACCCTCGAAGAGATATTGTATGCATTGGTGGTGCAGAAATTCATGGATGCTGACGTGGCCTTAGTTCCGAACATAACCCAGCTCGATTCTGTCCGAGTCGACGACACCTGGCACTGCAAAGAAGCAGAATTGGAAGGGCTCCACTCCACCGAAGCTTACCAGATGATTCAAAAACATCTAAGTCTCATTCTCGGAAAACGACTAGCCGATTCCAAATCAGTCGCACAAATAAGCAAACTAAGGGTGGGCCAAGTTTACGCAGCTTCGGTTATGTACGGATATTTCCTCAAACGGATAGACCAAAGGCTACAATTAGAGAAGATGATGAAAATCCTTCCACAAGAGAAGATGGATATCGAACACGTTACGTATTCTGCTGCAGAGAAGAGAGTACCTATGCTTAACGAGTCTCTCGAAGATGGGATAAATTTATCCAGGTTCGACGGGATAAATTTATCCAGGCTGAGAAACTACGTCATGTTATTTGATGGGGAGACGCTTCAAAGATATGCAACAATAAGATCGAAAGAAGCCTTTAATGTGATTGAGAAACACACGGAGGCGTTGTTTGGTAGGCCTGAGATAGTTATCACGCCTGATGGGACTATCGATTCCTCGAATGATGAACTGATCAAGATCAGCTTTGGTGGGCTGAGGAGACTCGTTTTGGAGGCTGTGACATTTGGTTCATTCCTTTGGGATTCTGAAAGCTATGTTGATTCGAGGTACCATTTTGTTGCAAATTAATTGAGATCATTTGAGGGAAATGATGTATGTATGCCTTCTCTGATTGACCTGCACATAATTTAACTTTACTTTGAAGTTTATCGGTTTTTTTCTTAATTTTATTTTATTTTATTTTATCATCAATAATATGGAATTTATTTATCCATTGGTGTCGGTTGGATTTTGTCGATCTATCTTTAAGTTTTCAACCCTGATAATGTGGTACAATATGGGATTCTTATTTGTTATACATTACAGATTGTTGGTTTTAATATAAGAGTGTGTTGCACTGTCGAATATCCACCTTGTGTATGTTAGGTTAGGACTTTGTGATGAAACGAATCTTGAAGATAATCAAATTGTTCTTTTCGTTTTATAATTATGCCTTGTTTTCATTGCTGTATTTAGTTACACGATTCGAGCTATAGGCATACTCTTTGATTGCCCATAGATCAGAAAACATTGTTGTTCTTAACATTAAAAAAAAAAAAAAAAAAAACACGAAATCTCATTACGGATGATATGAATGTGAGTCGGTTTAGCAAATAGCAAGCATTACTTGAGAAATCCTTTCATCTACTGTTATTATTTTGTTCTGACATAGCAGATAAAATAGAACCTAGATACGCCTAATTTAATACGCGTTTCCGGTATTTGCCTTGAGATTAAAACTATGCAGGGTTTTGCCATGAACATCGTAGAAGACTACATTTGCTTCGCTCTTCGTAAGTTGAACTGAAACGAAACCTTGCCCATCATAGTAGAATTTCGTATTTTTCTTGTATCTTTGATAATTCGTTTGGTTTCTCCATGCCATTGACCCTCCTCCGCTAGTCAAAAATTCAACGGGGCTACAAAAACAGAGATTGAGATTATCAGACTATCTTCGTTATATATTAGGTAATAATCTTGTGAAAAATATTTGCTCTTATGAATAAAAAAAATTTACGTTCCGATATTGCTGATGTGTTGAAGACAGTGGTCGTGCCCGTTTATGTACATAGGAATCTTGTTTGCCTGAAAAAGTAAAACACTTACAACATCATGTTCGAAAAAAAGTACAACATTTTAGGCATGCGGTACTTTACAAAGTAGTTTACGAGTATTCGGTTTGGAGTTTTCACCTGCAGAATTGGCAAGATTTGATGCAGAAGTTCTGTAGTATCTCCGTGAAATGCGATACTTCGTATGGGGTGATGACCAACCACAATTTTCCAGGTGGCATTTGATGATTTTATGGATGTTTTTAGATCCTAATGAATATAGATACAGAATGTTTATATGTATTTTTTTTAATTTGTAGATATTTGAAAAAAAAAATAGACCAAAAAACTGACCTTTACAACGTTAGAGAGATATATGTCTCTATTAGGGATGTTTTTCCAGTTGAACTTTTCATCTGTGCTGTTTGTGAAGTATTTGTTCACAAATGGAGTTGTATCCAAAAAGAATATGTGTACAAACCCTAATGATCATGTTCAATTTCAATGTTAAAATAGTACAGAAGTTCAAATAAATAAAAAGTTTTAAGGAAAAAAATATCAGGAAAGAAATCGAAATACTCGAAATTCGACATAAAAAATCATGAATTTTTAAACTATTCGAACAGTTAGATCAATTTCAAACATAATCTTATTCATGCATCATCTGGATAATAAGATTAGTCAATATCAGATCATGCAATCTTATGATAACCTAATTGTATAATTGGATCAGAAGAGGTCCGATCCAATACACAATTTCTCGATAAATCAAAATAAATGCTCGTCTTTTTTTCTTCATAATTGTTGGATGTCACAAAAGTTAACGATGACTTATCTTACGAACTAAACAAATAATTATACCTGCTCGAACATCAAAAGATCTGTGACAATTCCATCTCCTATCGCGCTTTTTAAGCAAAGGACTCAATTGCGCCTCCGAATCTCCATGGTAGTCGTGATTTCCAAGCACTTCAAACATAGGTAGAAAAACGAGAAAATAAGTAGCATATAATAACATGTAACCACTTCATAAATACATACACGAGTAAATGTTATCACTGCATGTAAACTTCGTCCGGTGTAGCATATAAACAAACGAAATGAATCTCAATATTAATAATGTCGAATATTAATAATAATTAATTACCAGAATACCAAGGTATTTGTAAGCTTTTAGCAGTATAAATTCTTGAAAAAGATTGGGCAAAAGCAGGATCATTAACACCACTTAATCCATCCGTGTAAAAGTTGTCACCAGTTGACACTACAAAATCAATCTTTAGCTTCCCTCCTATCTCTCCCATCTGCATTCATCCCAATTAAACAACAATATATTTATCATTTTTTTATTCGAAAAAAAAATAATAATTATTACTACATTCTCATTTAAATATTTTAGACTATATCAATTTATTCTGAAACTCAAAGGGATTAACATTTAAAAGATTGTGGTATGATTTTTGATATATTTATTATTACGTTTGTACGTAACTAGACGTTACATCTGGTAAAATACAAGTACATACTTATACACATGCATGCACGTGTATAAAATACGTATGAATATGCATGATAAAATATCTATATAAGTACTCGATGGAATTCATCGAATGTACCGCAGAATAAATCATATAGGAAAAAAAAATATTTATTAATATATATTGCAAAGTTTTACCGCATGGGCAACGGCAGATTGATTAAAAGCTCCCTTTCTTCCCCAATCTCCGACAACCAAAAAATTTACAGAGCCATCGTTAGCTGCAATGGGTTGGGAGATTTGGACAAGTTCAGCTGTAACAATGGCTTTGCTTAAATAAAGACAAGCTATCAACAATGGCAGCAGAGGAATATTGTAATTTCTGCATATGTTAGCCATTTTGCTGTAACTGTAAGAAGATATATTTCTTTTCTTTTTTTGTCTAAATTCTCAGTTACCCTCTCTTTTATATTGTTGTACATATGAGAAAAAAAAAAAAAAAAAAAAAAAAAGATTAAAGGTGGTGAAAAATCATTCTTGGTTGATGTATGTATTATTAGGCATTTTGCAATGAATGCATGTTTAAGAATGGCAACTGAAAAATGTAATTAAACATTTATGAGATTAATATGGGATTGGAAGTGAGTTTACTATGCAGATTTTTCATATAAATGGATATTTATTATTCAGATATAGATATAAATGAATACATATCGCCGTCTGTGGGAATCGAACCCACGACCACATGGTTAAAAGCCATGCGCTCTACCAGCTGAGCTAAGACGGCCTCCAACCCCCAAGAGGTAGAGTTAACGTTATTTTTTTATCTCTTCAATTCCTTCGGCATCTTGTAACTTATATTATTGAATTTCAAATTTTGTTGAATATATATTTCTGATATGAATACTATTATTCATTGACGATTAATTAAAATTTCAAAAAGATTAGTGCTAATTCACAAATAAATTTCACTCACAGCTCACAACAAGACAATGTTCTTTAAATATTGAAGTTTAATACTTTTACTTTTAAAAAGTTGACTCAAATGGGCTTTTAACCATCAAATCAATACTCGATTTTAAAAAAATTTGCAAAAGCTTTTTAAAAATAGATTATGAACTTTTCTTTGCATATAACCTATTTTTAGATATTTGCAAAATAAACTTCTGTTTTTGCTCTCTAAACATAATTTGTTTTAAATTATAATTTTAAAAGCACTCATGTACCTGCTTAATTTAATTTAGTTAATTTTTCATCGAATTTACAAACACCCCCAACTTAACTCACAATCACTAACTTTTACTTTTAAATAAGCTTTTGCAAACACCAGCTAAGTCCAATGAACTTCTAACAATCAATTCCAAGTGTTAAGTCTAATAATATCACCCTATAATTAAATCATTCAAAACCCAAAAATTGAAGTGAAAAAAAAAATAAGGTTCTTATTCCCAATAGTTATAAACTCAAATAACTAGCTTTACTCCAAAAGAGTAAACAGGCAACACGATAATTGAATGGGAGAGGGGTACAATCATGTATATTAAATTTTAATTTATTACAAACTGGTTTACCATGAAAACCAAAGTTCAAACTCCACCACTTTCAACACTTTCCAGCTTTTTCCTGCAATATCAACCAGATGCATAAGAGGGCGAGAATAAAGCTGTGTCAATGAGAATTAAAAACACACACACACACACAAAGTCGGAGTAACTTTTACTAAAGTCTGTTCGATTCAGGCATGTGTGTAAGCAAAACTAATTTAGTACAAGTAAGCATGCACACAGAATACATCCACATTCTACAAGGGTTCAATATCTACAAAGTAATGGGCCGCGCCGCGGTTATATAAGTTTGCCATGTTCAAATTCAATAGTGGTTCGACATATCTTTAATGAATTCAATGAATTAAAACTTGAAAAGCAAATATATATAGTGAGCTTACAGCATGAACACATGATCATTAGACAATTATATGACATGAGAAACATGATATATTGCAGAAACTTCTCAAAAAAATGGAATATCATTACTAAAGTGTGAAGAAGTTGCAAAACAAAGTCCATCGATTAGAGCGTGAATTGTAAACGAGTGACATCTGACAACTAGCTAATCTTGTAAAAGTCACCTAAAAGCATAAGATTCTATCGATTACCTTGTATACTTACGCAACGTAAAGAGCTACATCATACAAATAATTAAATAGTCACGATACATGACCAACTAGTTGATAGATACCACCAATATGCAAAAACCAACATAAAGTATGCGAACAACCCTAGATATCGACGTCTATGGGCTGCAACAAGAGTATGGTCTATAGAAGTCACAAGGGAAACCCACTTCTATTGTCGTCCCATCTAAAAGTGAAGAAAAATGATAAAATTCCAAACGCACTATGGCCTCGTTTGGTTGCCAAGATAAAATTAAATAATCAAACTAAAACCCAATTGTTTTATTGGACCATGGAAAGTCCAATAAAAAGTCCCTACAGGCAAGATAAGACATGATAACATAATATTTCCGGGTCGACCAAGGAAATTATTGGGTTTACCAAACATCAAACAAAGTCCAATTTTATTTAGTTAATCATAGTTAATCTCCCCAACCAAACGAGGCCTATATCTACTAGTATCTCCAGGAAGGCATTACACGTTCACATATAAGGTTTTAATCACCATAATCTTCAAGCAAACTAGTTTAGAGAAGTCGATCACAAAGAACCGCAAAAACAACATCAAAACGCAGCCCAGAGAAACAATATACTAAAAGCAAAATCATCTCATTGCTAATTTCTATCATTTTACTAACGCAAACAAAGCCAGGGAAAGATATAAAAAGAGCGACAAAGAAAGAAAAAATACCACCATCAACAATACACTCCATATAAGGAAGGCAGGCATAGGAAAATCCACCTTTAAAGATTATTCATCATCGTCGTAAAAACCATGAAAAATCAGGCATTGGCAGTTTTAGGAATGAGGGGGATGGGCTGCGCGGCAGATTGTGGGGTTTTCGCCTTCAGCTGTGCTTCACGCTCGCGGATTTTCTGCATCTGCAGCATCCTTTCCATTACGAGCTCGTATTCGCACTTCTCGTAAGTGTGGCGCTCCCCTTGGCACTTCCACGGCAGGTAGAACTCCGACTGGCGGCATTTGTTGAGGGGGATTAGCAAATGAGCACACTGGTCTCTGTACGCAATCGGTACTTTTGCCTCCATCATTTCTTCTTGAGTAGCGATCATCTTCTTCGACGAACCCAGAGCCTCCATTGAAGCAATTAAACTTTCTGCATCCAAAAAAAATTAATAAAAAATCTAATTTAGGGTTAACTGATACTGATGAATCATACATAAATTGATTACCAAAGTCAACACAGGGGGAAATGATAATATGTAAAAACCCTTTCATTTTCAAATTGAAACACACGACATTGCATAAATCGACGGGAATTGAAGAAATCGATTACACTATTGACATTTCGGCAAACACAATCAGCTGATTATAATTCGAAAAATTAAATTCAGAGACAACCGAAACAGTAAAACGAGAGAAGAAACGTACCTGGATCAGATCGTAAAGCAAAAAAACAGCGAAGAAGATCGAGTTTTCAACAATGGAGATAATAGGGCTTGAGAGGGAAAAGGGGAAAAACAGAGAGTGATGAAATCGAATTTATTTCTATTACGGGCCGAGTTCTGTTATGGTCTTTTATTTGGGCTGTAGAATTCACCTGTTTATGATCTTGGTCCAAGCAGTCCTTGATAATTTTCAAAACCTATTAATATTAATCCAAACTACTTTATTATTATTATTATTATTATTATTATTATTATTATTATTATTATTATTATTATTATTATTATTATTATTATTATTATTATTATTATTATTATTATTATTATTATTATTATTTCAATAAATTCAATCGAACTCATAAAAATGATGAAGTTGAAGATGATAGTTTACTACATATCCGTTTCTCGGACGAAAGCTCTTAAAACAATAATAGTATTTTTTTTTTTTATTTTTTTTTTTGATATGACAAAACAAAATTGGAAGTTCTTACAATGTTAAGAAAAGCGAGAAATGAGATTTAAAGCAATGTGAACTTCAACCAGAAACAAAAGAAAGTTTAAAAAAAAAAAAAGAAAAAAAAAACCATATTTTGTTATTTCCTTATATATTTATCATAATTATATTGTACTATGTATTATTTGAAGAGTTAACTATATGCATTATTAATTTATATATAAGATGGACCCCTATTAGAATTTTCGAATGTGTGTTATCTTATAAATGTAGTGTATTATTAATTTCGCACGTTGTCACCGAGTCGGGAACGGATTTTTTTTTTTATTTAAGCGAGATTATTAATGTATCGAGATTCTACTGTAAATATAATAAATAGAGGAGTAATGAGTCCATATTATGTAAATTAATTAACAAATAGGGTTTACCAAACAATTAAATTGGCTTGCGAAAAATCAAAAAAAAAAATATTTTCATATATAGTATTTTGTCAAAAAGTTATAGGCCAAACATATATATATAAGGAGCTTCCATCCTAAAATATGTATGTTTGTTTGTTCTTTGTTTTACTACTAATAATATTCTCAGGTCATTGCATATACATCGCTAAGCCAATTAATTACCCTCAACACACACACATATATATACACATATCCCTATCATCACCATATTTGAGAATTTGTCTGAATTTTTGTTCTTCATTTTCTTTGTTTTTATTTCTTGTAAATAAAAATATATGTACATATATAAATATAAATAATTAAATGGGCTTTCCTAGAAATAAATTGTGGCTCTGCCTGGCAATAATCTCCTTAATTAATATATGCCAAATTAATTGTGAGTTGCAGAGATTTGAGCAGCCAATCAAAGGTGATGGAACACTTAGTTTCTTGGTTATTGGAGATTGGGGAAGAAAGGGAGACTTTAATCAATCTCAAGTTGCTTTTCAGGTTTTTTTTCTTTTTTTAATTCAGATATTCGAATTTCGTCCGACTAAGAATTTACGATGCTCGTATTATATTCAAGTTGCTTTTTTTTTCTTTTTCTTTTTCTTTTCTTGTTCTCTTTGGAATCTAATATGTATAATATGCATGTTGATAATTAGAAACATCATTTTCAACAACTTGTTTCATTGCTATATATTCGTATAAATAAATATGTACAAATATATCTGTATAAATAAAAGTAAAAAAAAGTGATTTGTAATTGCAATTTGATCAATTAGTGTTTGAAAAGCTTTTATGATATATAGCAGTTGGTGATTGTGAGTAAATTTTGAAATAATTGTTTATTTTCTAGAGTCGAGGGTGTTTGCAGATATCCTAAAAAGTTAGCTTTAATCCGTTAATTTAGAAGTTGTAAGTATTTACCTATAATTTTTAGTTTTTAGTTTTTTTTTTTTTTTGTGAAATTCTTAAATAATAACTATTAAAATGGTTAGGGTAAATTACAACCACCCCTAAGGTATGGTCAATTTACGAAAAAACCACTCTTGTTTGGATAATTACTGTACCGAACTATGATTTTTTCTTACATCTCCACCATTATGGTGTCAAATTCAACATAATCATCTAGATTTTGTGGAATGTGCTCTAATTTGTACTCATTTTGTGTAAAAATACAGTTTTTGATGCACCATAATCTGATATACAAGCCAAAAAACACATATTATGATCATCTTGCTTCAAAATGCAGAGTTCGAATGGATAGAACAGGTCCAAAAGTGATACTATTCCATATAATCTCGAAGATTCCACTAAATTTGAAATCACAAGGGTAAACGTGTAAAAAAATCTATAGTTGAGGGGGTGATTGTAATTACCCAAACAAGAGGGGGGTTTTCGTAATTTGACCATACCTTGGGGGTGGTTGTAATTTACTCAAATGGTTCAGATAAATCTAATAAAAGAAACTTATTCGAAGATAAAGAAAAGCAAAAATTATACCCGTGAAATATAGGACAGTTAATTAATTTATTTTTAAAAATGTATTTTTTTTAAATAACATTTAACAATTTTCTTAATTTCAATAATGTATTTGCAGATGGGAAAAATTGGAGAAGAATTGAAGATAGATTTTGTGGTGTCAACAGGTGATAATTTTTATGATAATGGTTTGGAAGGAGAAACTGATCCAGCCTTTGTAGATTCATTTACCAATATTTATACAGCCAATAGCCTCCAAAAGCAGTGGTATAGTGGTAATTTATTTATCTTTCCCATCACAAAATATTTTTTTAATAATTATATTAAATAAAAAGGGACTTGCTATTTACGGTTTGAAAATTGCTATTTCCGGTTTATAATAAAAAACACTTTATTTCTCTAAAACCCCAAAACTTTCCAAAAAAATCCAAAAAACCCCCCAAAACGCGTAAAAGCCCAACTTGGGTGGCCATTCATGCAGTGCACGCCCAAGTTGGGCGTGCAAGCTACATTAGGGCGCCCGAGTTGGGCGTCCAGTGCAATTTTTTTTTTAATTGAACGCCCATCTTGGGCATTCCAACTTTTTTGTGCGAAAAAAAAAAAGCCCTACAAATTGATTTGTAGGGCTTTTTAACATGAAATAGGTTCCGTAATCGACCTACTCAATGCATATTACACATAAAAGAGTCGAAATTACATCAAAAAATCGAAGCACAACCCTTCTTCACGCTTGATTTCGAATTTTCGATTTTTTTTTTTTTTTTTTGGCTATTTGCAGTTTGGGGGTTTTGAATTTTTTTGAAAAGTTTTAGGGGTTTTGTTATAAACCACAAATAACAATTTTCCAACCATAAATAACATTTCATAATAAAAAAATACAAAAGTAATTAATCTCTTTCTTAATATATTTTATTCTTTTCATGCAGTTTTAGGTAACCATGATTACAGGGGTGATACAGTGGCACAAATGAGCCCTGCCCTTAGGAAAATTGATAGTAGATGGCTTTGCTTGAGGTCTTTTCTAGTCAATGCAGGTCAACTTTTTTTTTCATATATTATTGAAAAAATAAAATTCGATAAATAAATTAAACTTACAATAACTTTTATGATTTATTATGTATATATTTTTTATTATTTTAATGAATTAACAGAGATTGCTGAGTTATTTTTCTTGGATACGACGCCGTTTGTGGATGATTATTTCACAAACCCGGAGCATGCATACGACTGGCGTCACGTGACCCCTACAAACACCTACACAACTAATGCATTAGCGGTACGTCACGTGACGCCTAATTCATTAATTAATATATAATAAGATAGAATTTATAATGAAATTTTGACCCGAATTTTTTTGACTTTTTTTTTTTTTTTTTTTTAATATTGTTTTTTCAATCCTAATCGAGATTGGAATATATGTATATGACTTTTTAATTTACCATCCAATTTTAATTTTCGAAATTAATTTCATTTTTCCTTTTTGAAAACTACACGTACAGTGTCGTATATGATTATTATTGGTGGATAAAAAATGAAATTTCTAATTTTTTTTGCCGAATTATAACTGAGAACGATTTTGTAACGTGTATTTTCAGTCAAATTTCCAATTTATGATATTTAACATTTTTTTTTATAATATTTAGATTGAGTAGAATTATATTTGAAGAATGTAATGAGATCAATTAATGTTTGAGATTTATGAGTATAGTTTCCTCGTATTGTGTAATGACGATGGATTGTTTATAGAATGTCCAAAATACCCCTAGTCTTATATACTAGTTATTGACATAATTATTTAGACATGGGGAATAAGTGTTTTTATTATTTTGATTATATTGTCTGTATAATATAATCCTAGCTCCAAAAAATGAGGTTTTATATTAATAAAATAATATTTCATATATAAATCACCAAATGTGAATAAAATATTGTCACATGTGCATATATATAAATATTGAATTAATGAATCATTTAATTTTTATTTGTTTGGCATATATATAGAATCTTGAATCAGCATTGAAGGAATCAAGGGCAAAATGGAAAATAGTGGTAGGGCACCATGCCATAAGAAGTGTAGGCCACCATGGTGATACCCCTGAACTTGTACACCACCTTCTTCCCATTCTCCAGGTATTACTTTTTGGGGTTATATAAGTAATTATACAATAATATAAATAATTTTTAAATTATTAGAGCGGGTTGAGTTTAAAATCTAGGATCTCGTTTGGTTGATAAGATCGATCGTAATTGATTATATAATTGATTCTTATTCAATATTTGGCTAATCCCCTAACTTTTAAATAAGTTCGCAGTTTTGAGAAAAATGAGAATTTATCCTCTCTTTTTTTTTTTCAAAATGATTGTGTAATTAATTAAACATACGATGCGTGTATGACACATTTGATTAGCAAGATAAATCGGGATTAATTAAACAACGTAACTGGACTTTATTTGATGTTTGTTTAGTCGAGTAACTTTTGTTGGCATGCCTGATTTAGGAATTTTATCTTTATTTATAATTGGGGAATTGCGTAATAAACCCCCTCCAATCCGATGACACGATCGAAAAATGGGGACAATTTTCAATTGTATTTAGTCTCGAAACCCTTCCAAACTTTACGACCGGAAAATCCGTAATCCATGTACTAAAACTCTCATTTTGAAGTCGTAACCCAAATCTAATTTTAACAATTCGAAAAAAAAAGGGATGCATTCTCGCAATTAAAAACTCTTTACTAATTATGAATTTCACGATCTTGTTTTAGGCCAACAATGTCGATTTCTACATGAACGGACACGATCATTGTCTTGAACATATCAGTGACGACATAAGGTATCTAATCTCACATTATTTTAGTTTCATTACTATATTTATATATGTGACAAATCAAACTACTTTTTTTCATTTAATTTCTTTCGGAATTAAATAAAAAATATCGGGTTTGCGACTTATTTGCAGCCCGATCCAGTTTTTGACGAGTGGGGCAGGGTCGAAAGCATGGAGGGGAGATATAAAAAATATGAATGGTGAAGCCCTAATTAAATTCTTCTATGATGGCCAAGGTTTTATGTCTGTTCATTTGACACCTAGTGACGTGGAGATTGTGTTTTATGATGTTTTTGGTAGGGTTCTACATAAATGGACTAGGTCTAAATTGCTTCTCTCTGATATCTAATCTTTTATTTTTTATTTTTTATCATAAATAAATTATATAGGTATGAATAAATTCGAATAGATAAGTTAGTGTTTATTTTTATTTTTATTTTTATAATACGTATATATATCCGCACACAAATGTACGGGAAATTATATGCTACACCTGGTGAATATAACCAGGCACCCTAATTAATAAGATTCCCACTACGGGTTCAGTTATGGCCCAATAGGTTTTAGAAATATAATTATAAAATAAATAAAAAAGGACACATGTCAAAAAAAGAGCCACACGGTGAAAATCACCGGGTGTAGCATCGTATTCCCCCAAATGTACATACATAGATGAATGGTAAAAATATGTTAAATTTGGATTATGTATTAAGTATATCATATATTATTGAAATATGTATATTGTATTTCAATTTGGATTGCGGTGCAATAATTAAGTTGTTGCCATTTGAGATTGTTGTTATTTGTTACTTCCTCCGACCCATTTTAAATTAAGTGTCGATTTGAGAAATTTTTTATTTCATGCTATCTGTCATTTTATAAAGTCATGCATGTGAAAATATTATAAGTTTGCATTGAAAATAATGATAAATGAATAAAGAATTTTAGGAACTCCACTTTATTATCACCATCGAAAGAATTAAACGTGCCACAATCGGGAATTTCGTCGGACTATATCTTATTATATACGTGTATAGATAAAATTTACGCATATTTATTATGTGTATGTGTGTGGTTGTGTGTAAATAGAACTAAGGTGAAAAATTATACAATGTATTTCACCAAATGTATATATAATATGGAAGATTATATAATTAGTGTAAATTGTATAAATCAAGATTTTGGAAAATATATGTATATATAGAAATTATTTTTGGAACTAATACCGGTTTACTACTATTCGTACACATTTTACTCACAATCACATATGAAGTTCACAGAGTTATTCATACCACACGCGTATTTAGTGTATAGACTACGTACATATTTTACTCACGTTCACATAGGAAGTTCACAGTGTATGTGTAACATAAATGAGATGAGTGTAGCATAGACTAGAGCCGACCATCTAAAAAATTAAACTAACCGTATTCCGTATATACAAAATTAGTGCATCACAACTCAAAAGTGGCCAAACCAAAATAACAAAAAATTGTACATACAATAAAAACAAGTGCGGATTTAGCACATTTTGTATGGGGGCATATTTTTTCAAAGCAATAACAACCGAGGGTTGGTTAACAATTTTGATTGATCGGAGCGATAAATCGAAAAAATTGTATTTAATTCAATAAAAAAATGTACCGAATCGAATAGTTTGATTCAGTAAATGGTAAAAAGTATCACCAAAATTTTGATACGGTTCGGGCATTATCGAATGAACACCACTAACAACATGTATACAAAATCTTAAAAAAAAAAAGTTCGTCTAATGATAATTTGAAATTAGGGGAAATTACGGCCACCCCTAAGGTATGGTCAAATTACGAAAAGACCCCTATTGTTTGGGTAATTACATTCACTTACTCTTTTTAAATATTTTTACATAAAATTTATGTAATTCGGTTATTTACCAAACCAAATCGTATATTTAGTTCGGTAATCGGTAGGAAATGTTTGCGTACCGAAATTTCGGTTCGATTTTACCGAATTTACATCCCTAAATTCACCTCTGGAGGGGTGTTTTCTAAGATAATACATAGTTGAGGGGGTGACTGTAATTACCCAAACAGAAGGGGTTTTCGTAATTTGGCCATAACTCAAGGGGTGACCGTAAATTGCCCTTGAAATTACAAAGAGAAAGAGAAAAGCAAAAGAAAAAAAATTACCACTGATGATGCTAAAGTTTAGCTCACCTAGGATAGTATAGAAAACGAGCTGGGAGAGCAAAGCTGATCAGTAGCTAGTCAACTCGATGTTCCTGAGGTCCCTACAAAATGAGCACACGTGAACTAAGCCGGGGGTTGATCCGGCGGAAACCCCTCCGACGCTCAAGTCAGATGTACGGATCGTAGAGATAGTAGAGAGAATAAACTCGAGATTGATTGTGAATAATTAGAACGTACCTTTACAAATGAATGAGACTTCTATTTATATGTCGTTAATTGAGTTGGGCCCAAGCCTTACTTTGAAGGTGGTTGGGCTTTCGTGTAATGGGTCCAAATACTTTCGTGTATTGGGCCTAATTATTAAATAAATTGGGGCCCATTGGGTCGGCCCAATTAGGTATATCATTAAGCCCCCCAACTCTCGATTAAAAATCCCACAAATCTCTCTCTTTTTCTAACACACAAGTAATATATATTTCTCTCTCTCCACAATCCCAACTCTCCCCCACACCCCACGCCCCTTACTCTCTTTATCTCTCTCTTATACCTTTTTCTCTCTCTTAAGAGAGCCATTAGTTATTCTTGAAACCATATATTTTATAATATTAATTGTTTGAAACCATATATTTTTCTATATTAATTTTTATTTCGTATTTTTGGACGGTATTGTATTTTTTTATGTTTGCATTTCCTAACTTTTTTTACTTCAGCAAACCAAATAAAAAATAAAAAAATTAACAATCAAAATAAATTTGCAATATATAATAGAAAACTGCAAATTGCAATTTATAACTTAAAATAACATAAACAATAAATAACAACGCAAATAATAAATAGTAAACGGCAAACACAAATAATAAACAACAAACATAGTAGACAAAAACAATAAACAACACTGCCCCTAGTGCATTTTTTACTCAAGCAATATGAAATAGTTTCAAAACACGAAATACAAAATAAAAGATGTTATAACAAACACCAAAAAGCTAATTTTGGTATAGAAGCAAATTAGTACGTTAAGTACAAAATACTTCAAGATACAACTTTTCTGACACATTTAATTTGGTGTACTTTGAATTTATGTCGGTTGAAGATGTAAACAAGTGAAACGAGGTTTGAGTGAATATTGTGTGATCCATGGATCTTCTGTAATAACTTGTTCTTTGAGGACTTTGTTTGCAATCTAATTTGCTCTTGTTTTTCCTCCTTTGGAAGACGTCGAAGAGTCATTTAATACCTTGCTTCTTTTTTTTTCTTTGACGTAGCTGTTTTAGCACACACAAAATAAAACTAAATAAGACTTTCAATTGCAAACAATAAATTGCAAAAATGAACAAAAAATAGCAAATTAATAACAATAACTGCAATTACAAACAAGGAATTCAAAGTGTAAACAAATATATGCAAACAAGAAAATTTCAAATAGAAAATTACAAATAAGAAATTCAAAGCGTAACAAGCAACTGCAAACAAGAAAATAATGGTTCGATTGCAAACAAGAAACAAAGTGCAAACAAATAGCAAACCACGTGAACATCCACAAAATAAAGAAAACAAGAACAACAAAATGCATACCACAAGAACAACAAAAAAACAAAAACACGATGTTTCAATAATGCACAATAAAATGCAAATTTCAAATAGCAACACAAACGACAACAAATAAACATCAACAACTGACTGAAAAAAAATGGAAACAAAAATGTAAAAAATACGTTAAACAATCATACAAAATATAAATCGAAACCTTTAAAATGTGTGAATAATTACCTCAGATCGATGCTCCAATATCAACATTTTTTTCTCCTGAGATAAAAATACCAATAATGGGTCGTTAAATCATCATCAAACATCTAAAAAAATTGGAGAAATAAAAAGGAATTAATTACCTGGACTTTTACGTTTCCGCACCATGTTGTTTGATATTGAAGTTCTTCAATTTGGCGTTACGAGGATGACGAACAGCAAACAAACAAATCTAGGGTTTTTTATTTCAATTAAAAAACGATAAAACATCAAAGGAACCATAAACAAACAGCAAACGAAAACATCAAAGGAACCATAAACGAACAGCAAACGAAAACATTAAAGGAACCATAAACGAACAACAAACGAACACAATTTTTTGTGTTTTCTGCTTTTGCGTTGGAGAAGATGAAAGAAATATAAAATCGTATTTTGGGATTTGAAGATTTGCAACGATGTTGTCTCGGGAGAAAAAAGTGGGATTAAAACCTCTATAAGATTGACTATTATTTGGAGATTTTTATTTTCTATATTTTATTAGGGGTATTTTAGACACTATAAAATAATAAATATAATAAAAATAGGGAATTAGTAGTTGGATTTATACATATAAAATCTCTTAGAGAAGGACCTATAGCAAATTGCCCCTATTATAAAGAGAAAAAGAGAAAAAAGAAAAAAAGAAAAAAAGAAAAAGCCAAAAACCAAGTCGCCGCATATTTCACCGGTCCGGATTCAATCATTAGGCACGTGTCATCCTATCAACCGCCATCCACACTCTGTCCCTACAGCCATACGTCACACGTTATTTGTAAATAAACGTTTCTCCAAACACACAAACAAATTTAATTTACACATTCTTTATCAAAATTCAAAATTAATTAACAATTTTGGGTGGAAAAAAGGCATTCTTTTAGGTTCTTCCAGAATTGTCGGTTCCCTTCCGCCACCTTTCTAACTACTCTGCAACTGTTGTCTCTCTACATTTCTAGAGAGAGAAACAACACAGCACAACACAACACACCTTTTCTCCCGTTGTATAAATTTTTCAATCCAAATTTCAAACAGACAGCCGCTGTAAGGAAATATATAATGCTGACGTCAGGCGCCAGCGGGAGGATCAACGCGTTGTTTTCTCTGCGCGTTCTGAGGAGTTTGTGGCTGCTGCTAAGCTCATTCCTCCTGATTTTCCTGCTGCCGTTCCGTGGGAGGCGGCGGTGCGCGGCGGCGTCGCCGCCGGGGAAGGTGGTGAGGGTTCCGGCGGCGATGGTGCCGAGGAAGAGCGCGGTGGATAAGGAGGTGGCGGCGCGGCGGGCGTTGGCGATTAAGAGGGTTACGGAGGATAACGGCGGCGAGTTTGGTGGTGATTATTACAAGGAAACAAATAGGGAGTTCTCTTTGTTCGTTAATTCAAGAAACGACACCGTTTTTACCCAATCCTGGACCTCTGTTCATATTCAAGTCAGGTAAACAAAAATCTCTATTTTAATTAATTATTTAATTTTTTTATTTTTTTTTGGAATTTGAGTTGCTAAAATTTATTATTTGATTTTTTTTATGTCTTTATATTTCAATGTCAATGAAATGGGGTTTCTTGAATAATTTCTGGGTTATTTCGGTTTTTTTTTTGTTCGAATTGAGTTTTTTACGTCCCCGAATTCACGTCGTACATAGTAAAAAAATATACATTTTTTCGAGTAGTCGAAATTGCAACATTGTTCCTTATTGGCACTTCAATTTGTGCAGAAAATACGATAAAAACCAGTGTGTCGAACGGAAATTAGAAACATTAATTAGTTTTTGTTTCGATACGATTGTTGTCTTGTTTGTTCCTCTTGTTATCATCGATTATCGAATGTTAATAGATTATCGAATGTGGCAAGTACTCTTGAAGTGTAACAATTAATGAAATTTGCTGATCATTTAAATTTGGAAGGAATATTCCCAAACAATATGGACCGCAACCCGAGAGTTGCGAAAACCGAGGATGTTTTTTTTGGCCCTTATCTTTAGTAAGTCTTTTTGTGACAGGATATGGAATATGGGGAAGATAAGATATAGGAGTGAGTATATATATATTCTTTACGCAGTTTCGAATTATTCCTAACGTTGCATTCAATTTCGAGGACCACATAGAATTCCGGGCCAAAATTAAAAAATATAAAATCGAAAAAAAAGACGTAATTTTACTTCTTCGTAATCGTATGTTAATGTAATGCAGTAAAAGGTAAGAGTCGACGTAAGAAAGTTACTTATAAGACACAATCTATTTGAATTTTACAAATACATTTGATGAATTTGTAAGTAGTATGCTCGTTTAATCGATGAATTTGTAAAAGTCGAGACTACCACCACTAAAATCGTCTATATCATAAGTATGGATTAATACACCAAAATTTTTTCTCACAAATCTTTATTATTTTTTTTTTCTGTTGTTTTTAAATATAGGGGAGTGGTTATTCTCTTGCATGGCCTGAACGAGCACAGGTTCGTATGCTACGATTATATGTACATTATATTATCGGGTGCAATTTCATTTCTTTCTTATTTTTCTTGTATTTATATTTCACCATTTATTGATTTGAACAGTGGTAGATATAATGATTTTGCCAAGAAGCTTAATGCAAATGGCTTCAAGGTTTACGGTATGGATTGGATCGGTGAGTCGAAAATATCCTACATCTAAAAAAGTTTATTATTATTATTATAAAAAATATTTCTTGACATTTCCACTATTTCTTACAATACATTGATAAAAAAAAAACTAGAAATATATTCTTCTATTGTTATTATTAATTAAATAATTTCATGATCAAATACGAGCAAACTAGTTTTCATGTACAGTGAAAAATTGGTAATTGCGTTCGATTTTAGTGCCGAATCTAATGAATATAAGTCAAGAATACTATCGTTTCTAAGAAATTGCATACTAACTTGTGTATATAAAACTGAGAAACTCCTTTTCGAATTTAAATGGTTATTGTCCGAAATACCCTTTTATATAGGCTCGATAATTTTAACCAATTACAGGACACGGTGGAAGTGATGGACTGCACGCCTACGTTCATTCTCTCGATTATGCTGTTAATGACATGGTACAGTACAATCTATTGATGCACAAGAACCACTTTACAATAAGTATCTATTTATAATTGAAGTTTTGATTTTTTTTTTATAAATAATTTAATTTCTTAAATCTTTTATTGTGCATAGAAATTGTTTCTTGGGAAGGTTTTATCCGAAAATCCAGGAGTTCCTTGCTTCTGCTTTGGACACTCAACTGGTGGAGCTATAGTCCTCAAGGTTAAATTCTTGATCTGAATATTAATTTATTATCGTTTAAAATCCCGTTTAATTGACTAATAATGGAAGATTTCCTCATTTACCAACAGGCAGTTCTCGATCCGAAAGTGAGACAATGTATAGCTGGCATTGTTCTGACTTCGCCTGCCGTTGGAGTTAAGCCTTCCCATCCGATTTTCGCAGTAAGAATTTTTCTTTAAACAATTCGATCTATTACAAAAAAATAAAATGTAAAAATAAAATAAGATAACTCTATCATTATCTTTAATTCAATATTTCATCGAATGTTATAATAGGTGCTCGCCCCGATTTTCTCGTTCTTGTTGCCAAGGTTCCAATTCAGTGCGGCGAACAAGGAGGGTATAACGGTCTCCCGAGATCCGGAGGCACTAGTGGCAAAGTACTCGGACCCACTGGTGTTCACCGGATCCATAAGGATACGAACCGGGTACGAAATCCTCCGCATCACCGCCCACTTGCAGCAGAACTTGACCCGTCTAACCGCCCCGTTTCTCGTGCTCCACGGTACGGACGATTCGGTAACCGACCCGGAAGCCTCGATGAAGCTCCACGAAGAGGCCTCGTCGGCCGACAAGACAATCAAGCTCTATCGAGGGTTGTTGCATGACTTGCTTTTCGAACCCGAAAAGGAAGAAGTCGTGGACGATATTATTGCGTGGTTGAGTGATAGATTGCCGGTTTAGTAGAAGGGTGGGGCCCGGCCAAATATGTATTCGAAATTTCTCTTTAGGGACCCGCATTATTTATGGGAGCCAAGATTTTGTTTGAGAGGACGGGGGCCATGACCCCCGCCTCACTCGTCTTTATGTTGATCCTTCCAAGCCACTTGAATTATCTCTTTACCTATTTTTAATTGGTTTTTTTCTCTATCACGACTTTGTTCCTTTCTTTATGATAGATTTATTATTGAATGGATAGGAATTTTCTAGTTAAGACTCTATGAATCAGTTAAAACCTTAGATTCATATTAGAATCACGATGATTCAATAAAAAAATCATAAGCAAAGCCAAAAATTCCTTGAGTAACAACAATTGGATCATCACGTGAAATTGTCCAACATCTAGTGCAATGGTCAGTCAACTATATACATAGACAGATTCTTTAATATCATTTAACGGCATGGGCCACATTGTTGCATTTTGTAGTACATAGGTATATATAGAACAGTGATGATAGTAAGTGAGTCTAA